GGTTAATAAGCCACCACGCCAAAGATAAGCATCAGGGCGGATGAGCTTGCAAGCCCACTTTTTATTTAAAAAAATATAATTATAGGGTTCGAAGGAAATATGTTTGTGTTGCAATGAACACAATTATTTGGAACACGCCCCTTGTTCTTGCATAATTAAGTTACTCATCAGTTTAACACGTAGGCTTTCGCGACCAATATTCATAATACAGGTTTTTTTGTGTTAGTTATATAACCCAACAAAAACTTGTATTTTGGAAGTTATCCTGTTTTGAATTGGATTTTAAATGTATAATTAGAGTACTGTTTTGAAATTTACTTGTTTTTAAGTTCATATGAATGCAGCTTTGGTCATTTTATCTCTGCACAAACCGTCTGCTCATGTGTTCCCCCACAAAGTAGAGGTCACGCGCATATTACAGCAATTAGTTTGAGAAGTTGCCGAGCAGTTCGTGTCTTGTCTCCTACCCTCACAGCAACCACCACCAATACCACCTCCTGGCTCCAGCCACAGCCAAAAAACCATCACCACTTGCGCCATGAACCTTTCCAGACCGAGCTATTCATACCAACACCAGACCAGTCTGTGCCACCCGCCCACCGATGTATTGTCCCTGAACCCAATGTACACGCGCGTGTTACCTTACCCGACACCTGGCCGATTTGTAACGCCGTTGAATCATTGTTGGTTTGTGCGCCACCTGTATTTGTGTCCGTGGAGTGTCCCTTCAAACGGACGTCCACATTGCAGCGGACTGCCCCCTAAACGACGGTGGCGAAACGACGGGAATGAAAATGGTTGTTTGAACTCTGACGACGTTGAAAATCAAGTGGTTGAGTCATTTAAAAGTCGAACTTGTTAGTAAGCACAAGAAGACACAGTCGCAGTGCAGCGTGTGCCCGAAGGCAGCTGAGGGCTTCCAGCGTCGAGAACTGAACCCGCGCCGCATGTATCGAGTTTCATTTTCCATATGTAATTACTTTCGTGGGTAAGCGTGCTGCGTGCGTCATGAACTTCTGAAGCATTGGTGTAGTAGCCATTGGGTGTGTAGGTGGTGCAACTGCACCGGGACCTCTGGGCACCATAGGAGCCCAGTCCCCAGGCTACGAAGATGGTGGTGGGGGGGGGGGGAATGTGGACATGGCAGCACCCCATTTAATTCCTTGCACCAAGGCCCTTGCCAACTACGCTCCTATGCCACTGTGGAAATAAAAAAAGTGTATCTGCTCACGAGCATAGAGCATTGCTGTTTCTATGACCAGCTTTGGACCAATTGTGAAGATGTCATATTCCAATAACACGAGCCAGTCCATCCATAGAAGAATCACAGATAACGTGCTCCCAAAGTAGTCCTTATTTTGTTGATCCCAGAGGTAGAATAATACAGTCCAGCCCTTTGTCAATGTTATGCATGGGGTGTTGGTTGCTAGAGTTGTTTGACTATACTTCACCACGCTGGTCAGTGTGGGTCGGTGAGAGGAAGGGGCACAGGAACAGTTTATATCACGCAATGATATTAGCAGCGGCCGGGAATCAAACTCAGTTTGCAGGGTTCAGAAGCGTAGTGCGTGAACAACTTCACGCCGCTTCTTCACACGAGGAGTACGAAAAAAAACAATTATTAGTCTTAAAATGTGTTTTTGGATGGTGCCGCATGTTGTACGTCTGTTCTTTCGCTTCATGCTGTCAGTAAGTGGAGCGAAACGTCGGACACCGTGCCGAACAACACGTGGTTCAACCCGAAAACACGTGGGACAGTTGAACAGCATCACTGCTAAACACATTCCTGCGGAGGGAGCTGGTAGGAACGTTGGGTTTGCGTGGTCAATGGCCAGGGTCAACGGCGGCGTGGTGTATTCCGCAAATATGCCCGACTGTGAGGGCGGGCACCACGGGGTGACCAGCCCCTCCCCACCCAGCCCCACCCCTCCCACCCTCACCCAGCCCCACCCTCCCCACCCAGCCCCTCCCCACCCAGCCCCACCCCTCCCACCCACCACCCAGCCCCACCCTCCCCACCCAGCCCCTCCCTACCCTCCCCACCCAGCCTCTCCACCCAGCCCGACCCCTCCCATTTTTGGATGCAGGATGGACGGACACAATAATCCCCTGTGGGCTGGTGGAACCAGGTGGTTCCTACCAGTAAAAGATTATCTACGGAGTGGTAAAGCAACCATTGCGAGTCACGGATGAGGCTTCTTGGTTGGCGAGTTCACTTGCGACGCCAACGTATTTAAATGTCAAGGTGCGCGTCTCGAGTGGCATCTCTTGGCGTCGATGCGTGACCAGCGCATGACGCCTTAAGTTTCACACCACGCGCTCTTATTTTTGTTTTACAATACTGCATGGGAACAGATTTTCCCACGACGTCATTCGCCGAGTTTCCGAGTCGCGTTTCTTTTTTTGTTCCGATACATGCTGTTCATTCAATAGAGAATCAATGAGAACGGACACAACTCTGTACGTCCTTCCGAACAACTTATAATAATGTGAATACAAATAAACGTGGTCTTTATATATTTTTTTGCACGCGGTAAATACATCCAGGGTTGCCAGTGCATGAGAAAGGAAGCTGTACTTTAGACAACTTAAAGATGTGGGCAATAATTGGTATAATCACAAAATGCGTTTCATTTTACATGGGTAAATGTCGACCAATTAGGACTGTAATTTAGATCATTTGTCCACCTTAAAAAATGGAGAAATGGCCGTGAAATAACCCGGCGTTGAGTATACCCGGACAAACGGAGTTTTTCACGCACGCTGGGAGCCAGATTTTATAAAGAAAGAAAAAAAATACTTTCAACAGGACGACACCCCACGTGCGTTATGTTGTTTGTGATGCATTTGAAATGGTGGCTCTTTTAGGCTTCCTAATTTGTGTAGCTGCCCCCCTGTGAACAATCCGTGTGTGACACTACACCGGTGCTAACGGGATGTTAAAGAACAACACTGACTGGAGTGGCTTTGAAAAGGGGAAATAGCCCAGCCAAAATAAGACGCAAGTAGAATCATGGGATTTCGGAGTTGGGCAAGTCTAATTATTAGTACTGCTACTTCGCGGCGGAAACCCAATGACGGTCCGCCGACGTCTTCGGGGGGAAAAACAAAGTTACTCAATGTTCACGACCTTAAAATACGCACATTTCTATTTGAACTACTTAAGTTGCTCCTATTCATAGAAGCCCAGCAACACAGCGAATGCCTCGATGGAGTTTGTAAGCTGTGGGTTGGGTGTCCTTTTTTGTTTCGTGTTCCATGGTTGGGGTTGAAGTGGAAGGGGGTTGGGCAATAGAAGTGGGAGCCAAGTCACTGTGTGACCGGGACAAAGTGCGTGTGGGTTTTTTTTTTACGTCTGTCTACAGCAATATGAACAGGTGTGGATATTTCAGCCGGCCACTATAACCACGTGTCCAGCGTTACGCGGTGGTTCACCCCCCTGGAATGACGGTCACCTCCTTCCTCGTGGTTCGCATTCCATGCGTCACGTCTCGTGTGTCAGGAAACCCATACGGGTTACCCGCATTCTTGTACAGGGAAATTGACTTTTCAGGTCCATACGGCGCATAGCCGTTTCAATACGGGCCGAAAAAAATGTCTATACATGTGTGTGTTTCTCCATTGCGATGGGACGTTGTGGGGTGAACGTTGAGATTTATAAGGTCACGGGGTGACCAATACGGTCTGAATTGGTCTGTAATAAGATAGGCGCTGATAAGGGGTTGACAGGTATGGTATACACTACACTATACACTACACTATACTATACACTACACTACTATACACTACACTACTATACACTACACTATACACTACTATACACTATACTATACCATAGATGTCAACCCATACGGTTTAACCCCGTATTCTTATACAGGAAAATTAAACTTTCAGGTCCATACGGCGTACAACCGTTTCAATACGGGCACATTTTTAAAAAAAATATTTGTGTTTCTCCCTTGCGATGGGACTTTGTGGGGTGAACGTTGAGATTTATAAGGTCACCAACACGGTCTGAATTGGTCTCTAATAAGGTAGGCGTTGATAAGGAGGAGTTGACAGGTATGGTTACCGGCGTTCCAGTCCACGTCTATTGCTTTATTTGAATACGTGCCAGCACGCTCGTTGGAATAACGCTTGTTGGCAATCCACTGCTGGATGAATGAGGCCTCCGTCACCCATTGTTGGCCATACATCACCACATTGGTCACTGCAGCTTTGTGCAGGGGGTGGGTGGGGGGGTTGGCCCAGGAGCGGTCGAGAAATGACTGAAATGCACTTCAAATCGACGTCGGTGTGATGCCGTGCAACTCAGAGGTCGCCGGTTCGATTACATTCGATTTTGCAGTCGCAACAACGCTCCAATATTCTTAGCCCCATTCCCCTGGCAAAGCCGCCTCTGTCTACCCAGCCGTGTAAATGACTACACCGCGGTTAGCAAGAAAGTAAAAGGACTTTTAAAATCGTAAAAAAAAGACGCAGCTTTTGCGATTTGCCAATCGCATTGTTGCAGATATCGATTTTAAATAGGTGAATCGTGCCCTGACGTGGAACCAATTGGCAGCCCACTTGCTCTTAAGGATGCCCGGCGTTGTTGCTGCTGGTTATTCACAATCACTTTATGCGTGTTCGCTTGGGGTCATGAAGATTAACAAAAAAACATTTAGTTTTTTTAATACATTAACATTTTAAGGATATATATATTTTAAATGTATTTTTAAATGTACGCCAATTATATTCTTGGTTATTTCGGTAAAGTCACGTAGAAGGAAATAATAAAATAAAATAATTTTCTCGTTTGATTTTTATTAAAATAAATGTTATTATTTATTTTATTATTTTATTATTTCCCTTCTACGTGACTTTACCGAAAAGAACCAAGAATACGAATCCCTGCAGTCACGAAAGCTTTATATCGAAATGTACGACAATTGTTAAGGGCCACTGTGTGTGTGTGTGTGCGCGTGAGAGAGAAAGTGACCTCCTTAAGAGGCCTGGCGTCTCGGCTAGAGTCCCGACTGCAAGAGCGTTGTGGTAATCTTGCCGACATCGTTCCACGTACAATACGCTAATTATAATTAAATTGAATACTTTCTCGCTATTATAATCGTTATCGTTGGTATTAACACGGAACTATCATCAGGTAAGCCGTTAATGTAATAACGCTTCCCACTACGCTGAGCCCTATTGCATGTAGCTCGCTATACTGTACATTTGTTATATATCTAGAACTTTACATGCTTACGTAACGTTTTACGATAATTCTATCAAACCGTAACATGTTTAGTGTTCCGAATGTAATTGTTTCTCGTATATTTGACGTGTGCTGAGCAAATACGCTGCTGTGGATTGGTGCGTGTACCACGTTTGAATGCGATTGATGTTGCAGCCAGTATAACTGCTCTGTTGTTTGTATAAGGTTATTTTATGTGCTTTGTTTAACCTCGCATTGATGTCGTATGTATCTTTCTGTGCCGCTTGGGTGAGACTTAAACTCATGAGTTTAAAGTTGTACACGTCCAAGTCCCGGCAGAGCGAGATATAAACAGCTTGGAGCTGTTATGTACATACAGGGTAGTCAAGATGTCTTGTGACCCCCCCCCCCCTTCATTTAATTCTCTAAAACTTAATCGTTTTTTGAAGTAAGGTTTATTTAAAACAAATTAATATGCAAAGGAAAAACATTCGTATGTTAGGCTCAATTAATTGGGCGTCACAAGACATCTGGGTCACCATGTACAGTACTGCAATGCTTCCCATTTATTTTTTACATTTCACAACTCAGATGAGGGCAATTTGAAGCAACAACTCTCTTAAGGATGGAGAACTGGGATTAAACATGCATGAATTTTGATTTAAAGCTTTTGTGACTGCAGGGATTCATATTCTTGGTTCTTTCGGTAAAGTCGCGTAGAAGGGAAATAAATATAAAACATTACAAATTTTCTTGCTGTGCATTTCACACCTGATGATGATTGCTTGTGTTGCAGTGGAAACGTCGTGAGAATTTTTATTGTTTTATATAAATATTATTTTATTATTTCCCTTCTACGTGACTTTACCGAAAGAACCAAGAATATATAAACATGCATGGTTATATCAAGGGGAATATTGTACAACATTTTAGCGGTCCAACAATCTTCTAAACATAATTGTTACCTTGTCTGCATCGGTGTCTTGCCTGCAAAAAAGTGTGTCCGTATTCAGATAAATATTGGTTTAAATTATTTTACAGGACGACCGTTTATCGTTAAAATAAAAATTGCGAGCGTATTACCACACTGGAATTCTATGCACAGGTAAACACACGCTCACTGTGACATAAGGTGTGCATGCGTGTACCATAGTAATTCAATACGCTTGTTTTTTTTTAATTGACATGGTCGTGATTCTCATAAAGATCATTGCGGCGTTGGGGCGGATCTAGAGTGGACACGGCAAGCACAGTGGTTCGTGAACTGTGCTGTGAAGCCGGTCAGCCAAGTTCGATTCCAGACCATGGCTAACATCTGTGGACCGGTCCTGGGATTTCAATTCACCATTCCGCGCTGACCAGCGTGCTGAAGCATGGCCAAACAACTCCCATGACCGGCACGGTGTTGGGGGGGGAGGCCTTCATACAGCAGCCGCTTTACAAAGCGTAGTTATTAATACGAAAATCCCCTCTGGTAGTGCCGTAATGTGTATAAATCACATTACTGTACAATACTCGTCTGCTGCAATGCACTGCCTAATACTTTGTCGCCGCGATGTCATTTGTGACCAGTGGGCAGGTGCGGCTTGTGGCTCAACGTTGCTCCCCATGCAAGATTCAATGGAATTGGCAGGAGCACTTTGCTCCGTGTTGGATAAAGTGAGGGCGGCCACTGCCCGCAGGCCACTTGTAAGTGAACCGCTCCTGTCACGCACGGGATGTCCGTCCCACAGTTGACCATTTGGCAAGGCGGCGTGGGTCACCACAACTGACCGTGCTGCAATGGCCTTCCTCTATGTCTCGTCCTTCTGCTTAATAATGCGTATTTGTGTCTGCGATGATGAAGCTACGCCACTGTGATTTTTTTTTATTTTGCCATAGCACTGATATTCTCTTCTCTGGTCAAAATTAACATAATATCTGTCAGTTTCTGCTGGCCTCTGTTATTTTTTTCCTTCCATTTTACAGAATGTCAAGTTTTTCCAGGTTTTTCTCCCATCGCACCTAGCTATGTGTGATTTTGTGTCTGTCTTTATATTATGGTGCACACTTTTGCTGTTTTCGCAAATCTCTTGCAGGGAACTTGCATTGGTTCTTATTGCCATCCATGAGCCACGCAAGTAGTCTTTTTCCGGCACCATTGTTCACAAGTTGTGATCTTTCTGTCCGCTGCATTGATCACCCGTGTCTCACATGCACCCGTTGCATTGAGAAAAAAAAACGTGTTTTAACTTAGCCTGATTTTTTTCGACTGGAATGCTGCAGTCAACTAAATAGCTTGAGTGATTAAGTGAACACAGATGAACTTGTAAGCTTTTGCGACCCTGTCTCAGTCAACTGTTTAATTATTTCCCAACTCGGAAAAGGGGTATATAGTGTGACGAGAATGTAGTCGCTGGTAATTGATATCATTTTGCGCCGTCAGTAGCATTTCATTGATGTGTAACTCTTGTGCAAAAACCCCAGTTGCTTCACCCGTTGCCTTACTGCTCAGGTTTAAATGAAACGAGATTTTTTGTTCACACGCGACGGCAGCTGCGTGAACTCAAGCTGTCTGACCACAACGCCGTGAAATGCCTTTCGGATCGTAGCGGGAGGTTTCTCTCATTTGGTGGGTGGATTTAGAGGAGGGAGAATAGTACACAAATATTAAATGTTTATTGTGTTCGAAGAATGCTGAGAGCATTGCTGTTTAAGCATCGATTGCGTGTTTAGCATGGGGTGATACATTTATTGATATCGATTTGTAAGGCTCACGATACATGCATTGAATATCGGTATAATAATCAGTGTTTATCTACTTGTGCAGTTATGTGGAAATTATATTCCTATTTTATATTCATGCTAGTGGAACAAACAAACTTTACAAACTAGATAGAATAAACAAGGAACGATATAAACCATATGAGAAAAGTTAGACAAAAAAAACCCAATCAATTCTTGAATAGAATCGTTGTCCTGAATCTCAACAATACATTTGAGTCATTGGGGGCAATGAATCATTACACTCCCGAGTGCACGTATTCCCCGGCACGCGAGCATCTCCCCCCCCTCCCGACACCACATATCACGGGTTCCTCCGTGACTTTCTTTGTTAATCCAACAGCATCTCCCAGACACTCTACCATGCCTGGTGGCGGTGAGCAAGACCAAGCCGGCAGCTATGGTGATCGAGGCCTACAAGCACGGGCAGCGTCACTTTGGAGAAAATTATGTACGTGGGCACGTCTGACCTCTCGCCCTCGCACTGCTTGACCCCAAATCTGTCTGACTGCGTCAAGTAATGTGACACGATTCCATGTCGAAATTCACCGTCTGCTTTTAATGAGTGACATGCGGGTTCAGTCGGGTATTGAACTGTGGCAGTTATGAAACATTGAAGTCACAGCTGCTATCAATTTTGCAGGTTCAGGAATTGGTAGAAAAGGCATCGGATCCTCAGGTATAGTAGATTCATGAGTGTGTGTGCACGATGTACTCAAAATAGCAGTTTTTTATTGTCCTTAATATGCATGTATATATATGTTTAACTTGTTTTGCGCTGTATGTCGCCAACTGTGCTAATCGGAGGTGGGGGAAGTACAACACAAATCAGTTCTAAAGAAATTAGATTTCATCCTAGATTTAAAAGTGTGTAGCTTCAGTGGCTCACCTAATATCCGAAGGAAGAGCGTTCCAGACGGCCACAGGAGCGCATCTGAAAGCGCCGGGGGATGCAGGGACCATCTTTGTAAATTCTTGCCTTTGAGGTTAACATCGAGTTCTCTCTTAACACCGAGTTCTGTCCTCTTGCAGGTGCGGTCGCAATGTCCTGAGATAAAGTGGCATTTTATCGGCCACCTACAGAAAGGCAATGTCAACAAGCTCGTGAGTAAGTGTCCTGTTACCGTCAGATAAGTCTAAGATTATCTCTGGCACAGGAATGTTAAAGGGTGCATTGTTAAGCTAGAGCGTATTGTGTTTTTTTATGTTGCCGTTTCAACACTTATTAAAAATGTACATGCACACCTATTTTGTCAGTCCACAATTGGATGAGTACCTCGCGACGTCATGTAGATCTTGGGGGTTATTTGACGATACTTCACCGCGCTGGTCAGTGCGGGTTGGTGAGCATAAATGCGGGAGCATGGGAGTACATTACAACAATGGATTTTGCTGCACCACCCTCTTCTGCCCACAATGTAGCCCTGCAGCCCAATTAAAACATGTTTGTGCATGGTGGTCATCCATCCAAGCACTATCCAGGTTAAAACCTGCTTTGCACTGAGATCTGATGGGATCCGGTGCATTCTGGGTATTTTTTTCATGGTGCATCCAAAATGTATGCAGTTATATTAATGGCTGCAGTTTACTTGCACAATGCCTTCATTGATATATTGCTACAACCTAGGGTTTATGTTTTGCTTTTTTTACACAGCTACGCCAAACCTGTACGTGGTGGAGACTATTGACTCGATCAAGCTCGCTGAACGGGTAAATGCTTCCTGGCAGAAGAAAAGCTCGGAAAAGTTAAAGGTCATGATACAGATCAATACGAGCAGTGAAGACAGTAAGTAAGCTTCGGCAACTCTTCCGAAATCCAGTTTTGGTTACGTGTTCTTCAGACCATGGTAACTTGGTGCAGAAGGTATTGGTGGATCACACGACCAGGGGAGATGATGACGACTTGGGGAAGCCTTCATCCAGCAGTGGATAGATCACGGTTGATGATCTTGATTACTGTTTTCTTGGTTCTTTCGGTGAAGTCACGTAGAAGGGAAGTAATAAAATAATAAAAATAAAACATAATAAAACAATTCTCACGACGTTTCGGCCACAACGCAAGCAGCCGTCCTCAGGTGAAGAATGAGACAATGCCAAGCTAGGAGCTTATATATAAGCTGCGTTGGAGGTGGAAGAAAGAGCGCCTTAACAAAAGAATGTGCATATGAAGAGGAATTTAGCATATACATGGAAAATGCGTAGGAGGTGGGCGGGGGGGTTTCAAAGTCATGTTATGCCCATGCATTATGCAGGATCAACAGCACCAAGGGGGGGTGCAGGGATTAGCAGTAACAAAGGAAAGGAATGTTAATGATATGTAGCTGCAGTTACTCAACAACCACGTAGAAAACTAAAGTATAAACTACATAAAAAACTAAAGTATAAATTGCATAGCACCATCAGTATACTTACTATACTCTACACTAAGCTGAGTTACTAACAGCAAGTAATACATTACAATTCTACGTCGTAAAAATTATATAATATGCTTCCATCTAAACTTTATTCTATTGTATCACACGAGCATATACCGTACTATATACTGCCAACATTAAATTATATACTGTATTGCTGTAAACCAACCTATACCTTATACATTTAATATAACACTATGTATTATTCTACCCACCCTAATGTGTGTCGAAATGGTTTATTACGTCCTTCCAATGATTGCTAAGCCAGAATCCATCTTCTCGGTTAAAATTGTCTCTGTGTTTGTATATGTGGATCGCCTCATGAACGAATCTCTCATGATAGCCAGATGGCTTGCAGAGAACCTCTGTCTTGGAGAAGTCAATATCATGTGAGCCCACTGAGTTGTAACAGTGATCTGCCACGGCTGAGGTGTTTGTCCTACCGTGTTTCAGGTCAGCTTTATGTTCACGGATGCGGTCCGAGACATGTCGTTTGGTTTCCCCAATGTAACTGCTACCACAGAGGAAACTTAGTTTGTAGACGCCAGGGTACTGTATGTCTGGAACCACATCTTTTACAGACGGTACCAGATCACGGATTTTATATACTGTGTTGAATCGGACCTGGATCTTGTGTTTAATCAGGATTTTGGAGATCTTTTTTGTGACCCCAGCAATGTAGGGCAAGGTGATGGTCTTGAAAGGTTCCTCAACAGGATCCTTCTTGATGGTTGGAGTGATGGCTTTGCGGATTGTGTAGTCGGAGTAACCATTAGCCTTAAGAGCTTGGCGTACGTGTTTGAGTTCACTGGAAATGTGTTCATGGTCGGAGATGCATTGGGCTCTATGATATAGAGTCTTGATGAGGGAATTCTTCTGGGATGGATGGTGGTGGGAATCCGGTTTTAGATAAGCATCCGTGTGGGTGGCTTTCCTGTAGACAGAGTGGCTCATTGAACCATCAGGTCTCCTTTTGATTAGGACATCCAAAAAGGGTAGCTTGCCATCATTTTCGACTTCCATGGTGAATCTGATGGCTGGGTGTATGGAATTGATGTGGTCGAGAAATTGGTCTAGAGCAGGCCGGCCATGTGGCCAGATGACAAAAGTGTCGTCTACGTACCTCTTCCATAAGGTCGGGCGTAGAGTGGCAGTCTGGATGGCGTCCGTCTCAAATTTCTCCATGAAGATGTTGGCTACAACCGGAGATAGGGGGGAGCCCATTGGGGTGCCCTCAATTTGCTTGTAGAAGGTTCCATTCCAGGTGAAGTATGTATTGGTTAAGCAGTGTCTCACCAGGGGGGGTACCCCAGCATTCAGTCCTTGATGAACCAAGTCTTCAATGATTGTGATGGTGTCAGGCACAGGCACCTTGGTGAACAAGGAAACCACATCAAAACTGACAAGCAGGTCGTCTGGGGACAGGGCAATCCCCTTGATTGTCGATACCAGGTCAGTAGAGTTTAGTACTGCAGAGGTGGTTTTTCCAGTGAAAGGCCGTAGGATTTCGGACAAAAAACGAGCCAGTTTGTAAGTGGGGGAGTTGATAGTAGAGACAATGGGACGAAGAGGTGTATCTTCTTTATGTATCTTTGGCAAGCCGTACAATCTTGGTGGCCTGGCTGCAGAAGGTTTCAACGAGAACTGTTTGGTCTGATCAATTAATGCGGTTGAAGCAGAAATGATGTTGTTGGTTTTGGAGACGAGGCTGTTGGTGGGGTCTCTTTTTATTTTTGTATAGCTGCCATCATTGAGCAGATCCTGCTTGAGGATTCTGGAAGGTGGGCGTGGCCAAGGGTGGAGCCAGCGACGCCGCAGAGAATATCAGCCGGGTCCCCCAGAGGGACCGGCGTTGTTGCTCATCCTGAAGAAACTTTCGTCTACGTTCTACCGAGTCTCCAACACGTGGACCTGGACCCGAGCTGTGGTCCGGTCCATAGTAGCTAGTTACGTTATAATTAGTGTAGCTATCCTGGTGGTCACCACCATAAGTTTTTATTCTCTTAAGGGGCAGTTACCCCGTGTGTTGGAGTTAAATAAATGTGTTGCCTCCAATAGTACGTCTGTGACTCGGTTGAACTCACTACACATGTAACATTGTTTTGCCCTTTTTTTGCTGTTACCTTTAAGGCAAACATGGGCTGCCACCTAAAGACACCGTGGACACTGTGAAGCTAGTCTTAGACAAGTGCACTGGACTGGAGTTCTTTGGATTGATGACAATCGGAATGTATGGACATGACCTGTCTCAGGGACCCAACCCAGACTTTCAGGTAACACCTACGGAATGTGTCTTACACAAACTTCTTGTTGCATTCTAGATTTGAAGCTTTCGTGACTGCAAGGATTTATATTCTTAGGTTTTTTCGGTAAAGTCACGTAGGTAAAAAATGTAAATTAATAAAAAGTAAAATAAAACAAAATAAAAAATCACGACGTTTCGGAAGCAACACAAGCCTCCGTCTTCAGGTGGAACCGTCACAGCCACGACAGCTGTAGCAAGTGATCTCTCATTTACTTGATACAGCTGTCGTGGCTGTGACGGTTCCACCTGAAGACGGAGGCTTATGTTGCTTCCGAAACGTCGTGATTTTTTATTTTGTTTTATTTTACTTTTATTAATTTACATTTTTTACCTACGTGACTTTACCGAAAAAACCTAAGAATATGAATTATTGTTGCATATTAAAGTTATATAAGAGTTCAGTCGTGGATTTGCAATGAGCTGATTTTGAGACAATGTAGTACACAAAACAGGCTTTCGGCAATAAAACACGAGTGTAGCCCGCGTGCTATTAATATTAATACGTGTGTGTGTGCACCTCTGTTTGGAACAGAAATTGTTGGCTTGCCGTGTCAACTTGTGTGAGAAGCTTGGATTGAAGCCTGAGACCATTCAAATGAGCATGGGGATGTCAGGAGACTTTGAGCATGCGGTAAGAGGGTACCTGTCACGCCATGCACAGTTGTTTTCCTTTAAATGCTCGCAAATGCCCTGTCCTACTTGTGAATCACAAATCGTGCACAGAGAACAACTGTAATAAGGCCGAGTGCACATGTTCAAAGATCGCACCCCAGGTTCTTGCGTATTTTGCAGAGACAAATGTTGCGGTCTTTTGCTTCCGTCAGATTGAAGTCGGGGCCACGAGCATCCGGGTTGGCAGCACGATCTTCGGAGAGCGGGACTACGGAAACAAGGGAGCGAACAAAGGTAGCGACGGAGAGGAGGAGAGGGGTTCTGCCGGAAGATAAAACCAAACTCCCGCCGCCATGCTGTTTGTCATGGAACCTTGCTGTTTCAGAACAGTGCTGGACTTGAGTGCTTGCTATCGCGGATTTTGAGCGCTTTAAGGATGCGGTAACAATTGTATGATTCTTCATTCGAAATCTCGCTGGCTTTAAAGCGTTTGCACTTGGGCATGATGTTGTTGCTTTTGCTGGAAGTTTGAAAACAATATGCAGGCTGCCCATTGGTATTACAAAACACTCGAATAAGTTGAAATTCATGCATTGGAAATTCGCATTCGATTAATAATGTGTGAAGTGGTACATTCATGAATCCATTATTATAGTCATGTTTAGAGTCACTGCTCCATTGTGGTTCCTAAATTTGAATTTACCGAGTAAATGATTAAAGATCTGCATTTGTTAGTTAGGTGTAAATTTTACACTTTGCTAAACACTACAAGGGCACACCATTGGAACCTCATTTGTCAGAAGAAAAAATATGATAATTGTTTTTTTACCCTTTTATCTGGCAACAACACTGACACCTTTTTTACAAGGAGGCATGTTTGCATAGACCACAATACCTGCAGTCGTAATGCAAACAAAAAACACGTAACTCTGATAATGTATGCACTGTCCTTGTGCAGTGCATACATTATCAGAGTTACATGTTTTTTGTAGTTGTGCAGTGCATCCATTATCAGAGTTATGTGTTTTTTGTTTGAATTACGACTGCAGGTATTGTGGTCTATGCACACATGACTCCTTGTAAAAAAGGTGTCAGTTTTGTTGCCAGATAAAAGGGTAAAAAACCAATTATCACTACAAGGGCACGTGTTGCTTTCTGTTGTCATTCTGATTGTTTAATATTTCCTAGATTTGTAGCGTTCGCAGGATCCAATCACTTGAGTTTCCAGTTGCCTTGCAGTGAAACTCACATTTTGGAAGATTCCGGTTGATTTTCAATGACAACGCCAGGGTTGTTTACTTCAATAAAAGTTTTATGCATTACCAACATTATTGTTGATTTTTCCAGTTAAGTCTTCAAAGTACACACAATTGGTGAGCTGCTTTCTAAGGTATCAATTATACATTCTTACGTTGGTGTTTTTCACATCCGCACGTACTTGTGCCCACATTTTTGTTATTTTTTTAATACTTCCATCAAAACAGAACGCTTCATTAACACGTTTGAGAAGTTAGCAAAAAAAGAAATGCAAATTCCAAGGCAGACGTTGTACCTATGAAGAAACACAACGCATCACTCCCATGCATAAAACTGGCACAAGAGGATTACGCTGCTCAGTGGAGTAGTTGAAGATTAACCCGGGTTCGAGTCGACCATAAAAATGTGCTTTAGGTTGCAAAACAGCTTTTTCAAAATGTTTATATTGTCATTGAGTGTCACACTTGGAAGTGATTGTGTAAAATCAATATAGGTCTTTAGTTGTAATCCAATAGACCTTAATGAATAAATAATTATTATTATTATTTATATACAGTATTGGAGATTGGTAGTGCCAGTGGGTTGAATTTTAGGTATACTTTGCAGAAGTGCATGTGTTGTCTGACCCACGTATGGATCTGACTTCAGATGTGATTGTGCAACTTCATCTTCTGGGGCTGTTGTTTTCCACTGGCCGGGTGCACTACTCGCTGCGAGAGTTCGGAATGGGTCATGTATTTGTCTCATGATATCGCACTGAAAGCGCATTGGAATATAAACTGAGCATTGAGACGGTGCTCATCGACTGCTTACAGCCCTGAGCCAGTGGTGGAAATTCCCTATTTCTATGGCCAAAGTTAGTCTATCCACAGGACAACCACTGTTGACTTCCCGACGAAGTGGAATTTATTTGATCTACTCCAAAGAGACGATGCGTTGAGCCAACCCCCGACCAGGATTTGTACTAACCTTCCAATTGCGAACGGCTTGCTCCACCACTAAGCTAACTGGCAACGATATTGCGGTATATAATACATTTTTATTACATCCCGTTATCAATCCACTGATGAAGACCTTGCCATGCCATGTCGGTCATGGGGATTGCTTGACCATAATACAGGTAGGAACAACAGGTTTCACACTGCCCACCAGGGATTATTTGTCTGTCTGTCGTGCACGAATGCGCTGTCCAACCAAGTTCCTACCTGCCCACTCCGAAGGAACGTGTTTCACCACGCTTGGTCAGTGCAGAGTGGTAAATGAGGGGGCCAGTGCTCAGGACCGGTTCTGGTATTGCTTGCCACTGTTTTCTGACTGGAAATAAACATCGGTTTGCTGATGTTGTGGTTTAATGCACCAACTACAGAGCAATCGCTTCTTTTCACATTGGTGTATAACGGGGAAATAGATGTTAAAGTATTACAACTTTTTGCAGAAGATTCCTCAGAGCTATGCCGCAAGTCTGTGTGAGCAGGTACTTTTCAGTGAGAGTCACAGCATATGTAGGGAGGAGATGGCACACATTCTGTAAGAATGGATCTTCACGATGTTGATGCCATTTGAAGGTTGAGTGGACCCAAGCTATTTTAGTTGGCTGCAGCATCTTTTATTCTGGACTGTACAAATTTCACGGTTTCACTTGTGATCACAGCTATTAGAGATGCACCATTTACAAACTTATCAGGTCTTTGCTCAGGACCCAGTATACATATTCCTGGACCACGTTGTGTACATTGTTAAGGTCAGGGTAGAATAAAGATTAATTTAAATGCGAACAATGCATTATCAGCTTAAAATTATCTTTTGGCATTATAAGTTAAAGCCAATACATTTATATTTTGACCAAGGTAAATACGTTTGTTGAGTTTTTAAAGTAATTTAACGTTTAATCTGTCGGCCGAGACAGCTTTTCAGGTGAATGTTTTACGTTGGCGTTTGTTGGCATTTTGGCTATTGAGTTTTGATGACCGTCATGTAAAGGGAAATTTGCCATTGTGTGGCTCCAAGAGTCGTCAGTTACAGCATGCTGGGGTAATGCCAATCTTACTTTTAAATAGCCAATTACAACCACATCATGGGACCTGGTACTCAAGCATTGAATGTCTCCCAGGGAGCAATACAAATGTAGTGATACACTCAGAGACACTAGGAATAGAAGGCACTTTATTTATTTTAGCCTTTACAGGGTACAAGAGGTAACTACACTTTCAGTCAGGACAGCTAACCGACTGCCTGAAGGTGAAGGCGGTGACGAAGACTCCAGCAGCCCGACGGGATTGAACTCCAATCAGCCCCGAACCTTCGCTTGGGGTCCCCTTTTATCCTCCTGGCGTGGCCTCGCTCCACCCCCGGCCATGCCCCCCTTCTGGAACCTACTAGTGAGTTCCCGGGCTGACCTCACGTGCCCCCTCTATCACCTTTGCCCTACATCCCTTTCTCTGCTTATCACGTGACCTGCTGACAGACAGGGCTGCTGCAACCGCAGATCCCTTTCCCTGCCAGCAGCCAGCGCTATGCTCCATAGTGACCCATTCTCTGTTACTACACATGCATTGTCCAACTAATGTTCGAGTTATGTATTTAATTTTTTTAAATGAATAAAGTCTCCAACAAACAATTAACTTAAACTTTTATTTCGTGACATTTATTTGAAAGAAAGAAATGTACAAAAAAAACTACAGTTTTATTGGTGAAGATCAAAGCCATAAATGGAGTCAGCTGTTAATGATGCTATGTATAAAGTGTTCATGAATGGCTTCATACAAGTTTGTTTGGCGCTACTGTTTCTACTTTATACGTTTTAGAAAAATAGGCAGTATTAAAAATTAACTCTTTGGTCAACACTGGAATAAATCGTTTTTTTTTGGTCAAAAGTGGCCAGCGTATTGCACGCATTAGTTCTGGATTCAAATTGGTAGTGTTGGTAGAGATATATTTCTTGGCATTATGTATTAATGCTTTGAAATACTGCAATGTACTACTCATTCTGACATCATGTTTGGGCCAAAAGTGGGACATGTAAAAAACACACACTTTGTGACAATGTATGAAATACTGTTTGCATCAAATATTGAATTCACACATGTTTTGGTCAATGTTGAATAGAATTTTGATAGTGGCTCATAATGTTGCTTTGGAAGCAAAAGTGGCCCAGAGTATTTTTGCTTTTACCTTTTTAAAAATGAAGCATGGATGATGTTTGTACCCGTTGTTGAATACATACTTAAAATGTATTGCATTTATGCAACGTAAATGTTTTATTCAATATTTATTATTGAAAACACTGCATTGTACGTGTCAATAGCAAGTCGAAGAAGTCATCGCCAGATGCTTATGGTGCCATCACACCTTGTAATCGCATGCTGTTGGAACGGTCTGAACGTATACTAATGCTACTACTTGTAATGTGACGCAGTATTCGCTCACTCTCGTAGAGTGAGAACAACGCAGAAGCATGATGAGCCGCAGCCAAGCAGTGAGCCAGCGCCAACAATTGCCCAGGATCTGTGGTCCTCTATATATAAAGGTGTTAGCCAAATAATGTCTTTACATGTGGATGTAAACCAGAGCAGGAGTGTAGTGGTTAGCGCCCTGCGCTACGAACCTGGCGACCCGCTCACAGCCAACACAAGTGACGAATATCTGAACTCGTTCTGGGCCTCCCCTAGGTCGACTCAGCCTCAAATGAGTACCTGGTGCGGTGTGTAAACATCGCCACTAGAGAGACAAAGGCGGCCGGCCGTGATGCTGGCCACCCACCCACCCCTCGTGCGCCTTGCCGGCCTTCATAGGTGCTCGTTAACAGCTCTTGCCTCAGCAGTCTGTTCAGGCTATACGGGGGGATCTTTGTCTTTGTAAACCACGTGTGTAATGTAAGGGGGGGGATGCTTTATCCCATACCGACCAAACAGGTTTGAGTCCACATTTATGCTCTACTGCCTTCTCCTGGTACGCCAAGGGTATGGCACCTCACTGCCCATGGGAAAGGGAGTCTCGAAAATTGTGCGAACCACCCAGACCTCAACTCCACATTGCTGGATTTTCCGGCTACGTGCGTTAGCTACCACCACCCAGTTGGTCTCTTGGTGAAAAGAAAAATTATTTACACAGTTTTCGCACAAATCAGACTTAATGTCCGTAGTTTTTGACAAACCAAAAACCTGAATGTTTCTTTAAATAACTAACGATGAGTGTAAAAAGATATTTGGTGATAAAAAAAAACCCCGGAAAAAACTACGTACAAATCTGTCAGTTTTTAGTTGAAAATAGGAAACACGTGTTGGTTTGGTGTTTTACATAAACTGAAAATAATTACCTTATTCATTGTGAAATTGAGATTTTTTTACAAACCTGTAATTTCGGTCCAAATGGACATGATGGGTGTTATTTGAGAAAAAATATATAACATTGAATGTATACATGTTTTACCTAATATATAACAAAATGTAATTATTACATTTTGTGGGGAAAAAATGTTAAACATTTAGCTTATTCGACAAACCAAAAATAACGAGCCAAAGTAATTTTGCATGGGCCAATTTTTTGTTGTTAAACATTCAAGTAATTAAAATGAAGCCAAAGATGACTTTTTCAAAATAACAATAAAATAGAAGTATTACTTTTGTTAAGCTATTGTTGGAGTCCTTTCAAGTCAAGTTGTTGCCTTTTCACGTCCTCTGTGTCCGCCGCTCGCTCAAAAATAACCCCTTCTCAGAAAAAACTTCTGCTCATGTTCGGTTTCGTCATTTTATTTAACTCCATCACGAAAAAGACAGCAGCATCCTCCATGAAGCAGTGACCGACTGACTGTTTAGCAGCAAAGATCGCTTAAAAATGGTCCCTTAGCAAAGACGCGTTTGGTCGGGAATAGGGGAAAAGTGATTTTCAAGCCTGACATGGATATAGCTGAAACACGTGGCCCCTTGTGCATTCACTCGATACAAAACATTCCGGTGCAATGAAGATCTCCGCCAACTCCACCGCACTGCCGCTGGCTGTACCTCTCTAACGTGCAAACACCGCAGCCCGTTAAGAGTGATGCTGAGCAATACATTTCGAGAACCTATTTCTCCCGGTGATGTTGCAAAATGCATGAACAAGGATAAGTTCAGCCTACTCAAAAGGTAAAAATGTCGTACAATAATCGTTACAAATAAATTATATAACTCGTGTCATGTTTTCTCTTTCATATATAGTACAGTATTTGCAGTTTTCAAAAAACATGAATGATTCGTGAAATGTGTGGATTGATCTCATCGCGGATTTACATATCGAGCTTTCTCAGCCAAAACATAATCACGTCGTATATTTATTTCTTAGTATCACTTTCAGAACACGTCTATTGTTACCAGCATTACATTGGCATTCCAATGATGCGTCTGTATACACAACCTAGAATATCCCTTATTATTCAGAATGACGTACCGTAAACTCGGAGCGATGAGACGGAAAATAACCGTAATTAACGCGAGTTACACTGGAACGCAATGTGTCTTGATGTGCGCGTGGTCATGCAAGCGTGTATTGTCTGTTCTTCTTGTGCATGCCTGTTTTACAGGGAAAAAAAATCACACAAAGCATGTAGAGCTACGAAACCATTAAATACACGCAGAAGACAATTCTGAATTGGCGAATTCACTTGAGGCTCATCTGTCTTAACATTTGATCCAGACAACTGAGGAGTGGCTTTACCTTCCAGCTGTCTTCCTGGGGATTCAAAGTTTCATGCCGCAAGTGACGGGCACATCTTGCACACACACGTATGTGTGTGTTTGTGTCCATCCGGGAGGATCCCACTCCAAAGAGTAGACGCGTACGTTTGTGTACGCGCCAATCGGAGTTGCGTACGCCTTGCTGAAGGCGTATGGAGGACACCTCCCGCAACCGGCTTGCGCCACCGCCACAGTCGCAAGCGCAGAGGCTCCCACTTGCGACGCAGCAGGACTTCTCTTCACTGGCGGCGGGCGTTACTGGAAAGTGGCCCTGACCTTGGCGAGCACCTCGTGCACCTTGCGGGAGTTGCGCTCTGCCGGCTGCCGGTGGTAGTTGGGTTCGTGCTGCGAGGCTAGCGCCTGCAGGTCGGCCCCGCGGAAGCGGCAGATGCGTGCACGCAGCTGCACCTTCAGTTCCTCGTCGGGCGCCAGGGCGTACGTGCGACTCTGGAAGGCCGCTATCTGGTGGACCGTCCTTGCCAGTGACCTGGGACGGCGGAGACAGTGGGTGACGCGGTAGCGGTGACGAACAAAGACGGACGTTTCAGTTTACAGATCTGAATTGCGCTTGTGATCATGAACTGTTACTGTAATAGTTACGTGTACAAATGACATGCAATTCATATGTAGTTGTATTGCATTTGTGATTCGTAATTGGTTTCTAAATTACATACCTAAAGGTAATTAGTACCTAATACACAAGATACTGAATTGGTAACTTCTATGTACATTTCCTCCAGTTATATGTAATTCTGAATGTATTTTGTCCATCTTTTAAAAAATCCACTTCTGGGTTAGGGCCTCCCCATGCCACGTTGGCCATCTTAGCTGCCTGGTGCTGATATCTACACACCACAACAGGCTCAGTTAACCCAGAGGAGGCCCAGGAATAGCTTGAAAGATGCCAACCACCTCGTCGCAGGGCTCGTAACATAGTGTGCAAATGACTGCACTGCCGCTCCCCGCAATCGGCCCCGCCGATAAGAGTTCGTACCTTAACTTGGGCCACTTGTACATCCTGTTGGCCATTGTGAAACCACCAACTTCCAGCTGCTGCACGTGCATGGAGAAGAGGTGAGGGCAGGGGATGGTTGGCTTGGGCCGACTGGTATCGGCCTCCAGTAAGCACTCGCTGTCACTCTTCAGGAATACCTGGGGGACGGGGGGGGCGTAGTGAAGGACAGAAAGATGCGTGGGTGGATGAACACTGGGCAGTGAACAGGAATTGTTTAGACGGTAACCGGTAAGCGTTTTAGAACCGATTACCGATTCTGAAATTCGGGAACTGTTAATTGTTTCCAGTGTGATTTGGTAGGGATATGCGGGAGTATCCACACTGTACCGCACGAGTATAAATGTACTCACATTGCTGGGTGGACAGGATACAAGAGACTTGGCCCAACTACTGCACCGCGAGATAGAATTGAGCCAGTGACCTTTGTATTGCAAGTCAAGTATGCTGACCATTACGCATCGTGGCAGCTGCCTTAGTTTCTCAGTAAAATGTATTTTTTGTTAGACATCTCTTAATGTGTGGCAAATCGGATACCTGTTTTTTGCTAAAACATTTCTAGTCGGCTGCCGGTGGTCATTGGGTCACAGCAGAGTAGTAAGATAAAAGCAATTCTATCTGGAATGTGTTTTTGACATCATCATCTATGTATATTAAAGGGAAATTTGTGAATGTTTGTCTGTTCGAAATGTTTGGCATACTTCCCGACATGCAACAAACTTGAAATTTGGCACGTGGGTAGTTTCCAGACTGTATACAATGTAAAACGTATAAAAATAGACTTTTGTATTGGGGGGGGGGGGGGATGACGATGAAGTGTGTGGCGTCAAACCATATACAGGACTGACGAGAATCGATATCTGGTGAGCGTTTGTGGTATCGATTAAACGGGAATAGGCCGATCCTAAAGAAATCGACAACCTTCGATTCCTTTGCGCGATTTAAAGAATCGATTCTTGGCGCGCGAGCGTAAGTTTATTTTTCCACCGAGCGTTGGGTTTAATTTTAATGAACGAGGTAATGATCAAAGTTTTCTTTTCATTGGTAAATGTTATGTTTTTAAGTTTTGAGAAGTTTTGAAATATATTTTTCACCCGGGCAACGCCGGGTACTTCCCGCTAGTCAACGTATATACGTAAACCGTGACTCTGCAACGCCAGAACAAAAGGGTATTTAAATTTAGATTTAAAGCTTTCGTGACTGCAGGGATTCATCTTCTTGGTTCTTTCGGTAAAGTCACGTAGAAGGGAAATAATAGAATAATAAAAATAAAACATAATAAAATACAATTCTCACGACGTTTCGGCCACAACGCAAGCAACCGTCTTCAGGTGAAGAACACGTCTGTCAGAAAGACACATTCAGACGCTGTCTTTCCGACAGACCTGTTCTTCACCTGAGGACGGCTGCTTGCGTTGTGGCCGAAACGTCGTGAGAATTGTATTTTATTATGTTTTATTTTTATTATTGCATTATTTCCCTTCTACGTGACTTTACCGAAAGAACCAAGAAGGTGTGACCTCTTGTTCTGAAAAGTTGAGGCCATCACTTTCTCACCCGCTCTGACAGGGAAAGATTTTTGTGTGAATGTAACGGCCGGAAATGCTGCACCTTTACTGCCACCAGCTCCTCCATGATGGCCATCGCCTTGGAGGGAAGGCTCCTCCACACCTGTCAAAGTCACATGACACAACAGTGGACGAATGGATATTCAAGACCCTGTTGCTAGCTGCCGAGTTCCGACGAGATCGGGCATATTCATGAGATTTCATCATATGCCCCGAAGGTAATATGTGCAAGAGTGGTTGGTGGTTGTGCCAGAGTCTGGGGCTGGATGTTCCTGAAAAGGTCACTTGAAAAGAATACACGTTAATGTTTAACCTTATCAAAGATAATACATATTTGTGTTATTTATACTGAGAAAAATGACATTTCTTTATCTCGCTACTAGGAACCCACCAACCTGCGGACATTTTCAGTGCATGTACCCAGCACGCGACGAGTGTACACCGCGATGGATCAGTGCCGGAGAGTGCGAGGCTCACGGGAAGCTGCCGGACGGTGAAGTTCTCCAGGCCGCTCAGGATCTGCATGCTGGACGCGAAGTTGCGCAGGACTGCTGCAGGTCTTGGCCACGTACAGGAATTTGGAGAGAACAGCCAGCTGTGTCTGCAAGAGGACAGTGACAGACAATGACGATCCTCTTTTACAAAAACGTGTTTGGTGAATCTCTTTCCCAAGCTATGAGTGTCACATCGTGAGACAACAATTACATTTGTTAATGATGATTTGTTTTTTTACCCTTTTATCTAGCAACTAAACTGACACCTTTTTTTTTACAAGGAGTCATGTTTGCATTGACCACAATACCTGCGGTCGGAATGCACACAAAAAACACAACTCTGATAATGTATGCACTGTCCTTGAAATTGATTGGTCCACACATGAGACAGCTTTCCTTAGAGTCTAGTCTCACATGGTGTTGGACCAGATGACGCCAAAAGGCGCACAACTCAAAGACAATGCACCATCAGAGTATGAGAGCTCGGGGTAAGCATTTACACCATTGGAACATCCTTTGCCAGTAGCAAAATATGATAATTGTAAAAAAGGTGTCAGTTTTGTTGCCAGAGTAAAGGGTAAAAAAACAATTATCATATTATGCTACTGGCAAAGGAGGTTCTAATGGTGTAAATGCTTACTCTGAGCTCTTATACTCTGATGGTGCGTTGTATTTGAGTTGTGCACCTGTTGGCGTCATCTGGTCCAACACCATGTGAGACTAGGCTCTAAGAAAAGCTGTCTCGGGTGTGGACCAATCAATTTCAAAGACAGTGCATACATTATCAGAGTTGTGTTTTTGTTTGCATTCCAACCGCAGGTATTGTGGTCAATGCAAACATGACTCCTTGTAAAAAAAGGTATCAGTTTTGTTGCCAGATAAAAGGGTAAAAAAACAATTATCATATTTTGCTACTGGCAAAGGAGGTTCCAATGGTGTAAATGTTTACTCCGAGCTCTCATACTCTGATGGTGCATTGTCTTTGAGTTGTGCGCCTGTTGGCATCATCTGGTCCAACACCATGTGAGACTAGGCTCTAAGAAAAGCTGTCTCGGGTGTGGACCAATCAATTTCAAGGACAGTGCATACATTATCAGAGTTGTGTTTTTTGTTTGCATACCGACCGCAGGTATTGTGGTCAATGCAAACATGATTCCTTGTAAAAAAAAACGTGTCAGTTTTGTTGCCAGATAAAAGGGTAAAAAAACAATGATCATATTTTGCTACTGGCAAAGGAGGTTCCAATTACATTTGTATCTCTTGCACAGCGGTGCAAGCCTTCTTCATGTTAGTGAACGGCCCACAGAAGTAAATATCCCTGCATCAAGTGATCTCTGGTCTACACAGTAGAAGGCAGCATTTCCCCACCCACTGATGCCACTGAGTTAACGTATGTCGCACAACAGTGAAACTGATATTTGTAATTCTCAGGGCTTGTAATTGATCTAAATTGAGTGCAGAACAAAATGTATTTTACCCTGACCATATTATTTGTGCAGTAATTGGTGACCAGGATGAGACCATGAACTCATTACACTTGAGAACCCGGTTTAATCACAGACGTCTACTGGGATTTGAATGCTCAACACAGCTCAGCGTTCTGAACTCGGAGACACCCAGTCACCCCCCGGTCACCCCCCCACCCTGTCGCAAGGCCTCTTAAACAAAGATGTAACCTCACTAAAAAAAATCATAGATATGTGCCCAGACTGTCCAATAAAGTTTGGAATCTTCATTAATGGCGATAGAAAGCTTTAAAAATGAGCAAACGCTCTACTATTGTGCTCTAGTGACGTTACAGCATTAACATATTAGAAAATAATTTGGGAGTGCCATAAGGAGTGCCATGAGGTGGGCTTATTTCTCGTTAATGAAGGTTCATATTTGTCATTGACACCCCAAGAGGCTAGGTGTGTATCTCCAACAGCTACTTTAATTTCCTTGCATATTCCTATCAAATTGCCATGAATATGGCACCAATAAGTCGTTCTTCCTCTATTCCTGAACTAGCAGCACAAATATGAAAAGAAAAACATCCACGAAGTTTAGCGCCATGCGAATTTCAGCATTTAATCGGCATTGACCAACTTTTGAGATTCAAGCATCCTGCCCAACTACTGATCAGTGAGCTCACCACCACATTGCCTGGCTTACATATTCCACAGAAACGACAGGACAGCGCTTAACCAAATCTTCTCAAGCCACGGAAGATGCGGATAACAAATACGATATAAAATATCTGTTGCGTGTAACTTTGGTTTATGAACTGCCAGCCTATGGACCACGTAACTTAGCACTGCGCCAAATGTAAATCTGAAGGCAGTGCTTCCGCAATTCATTAAATCTCAGACAGAGCAAATGGTATAGCTAATTTACTTACAAGTGAAGCTCTTAACAAGTGAAGCTCTTGATAGTTTATTTTCATTGGCGATAGGTAACCATCATCATCATCACTGTATATCTCCTGTGCGCCAGAACGCACCTTGATGGAGTCGCAGCTCAGGATCTCGGCGGACACCCAGGTGCTGATGTTGGCTGAGTGGTCCAGGAATTTCCACAGGCTTCCCCGGGGCTTGCAGTCAGGCACAAACAGGCTGACTCCCTCCGGCGAGCAGATGGTCAGTCTAGCAGTGCGAAATATACACACACACACGCACAAGTTAATGGGGTGGCAGGTTGAACCAGTGGTAACACTCATGCCTCACAGCAACAAGGGCCTGGAGTATGTAGTTGTTTTTATTCTCCCTGAGCTGCATGGATTCCTCCAGGTCCTCTTGTTTCCTGCCATAGCCAACATCATATACAATGTTACGAGTATTAGCCAAACATGCAATTGCTAAAAAAATACTGGAACATTATTCAACTTGGGTTACATATTGAAAAGTCGCCCCTTACTGCGCAAAAACTTTGCAGGAGCCTCCTTAAAAAGCGTTGAGACTCAGTAAGGCTGTACTTTAGTATAAATACATGTTAATTTTGATTCATATGGTGTTTTTTTCTGACTTTATGTGAACGAAAAGACACAAATTCGCTCGTTTTGTCATTAAAAATAGGTACATTTCAAAATATCACTGTCCTGGTCACAAAAGCAAAGTTTGTGGGGAATAATAGCCATTTTCTGTACTTTTGAGGCATAAGCAATTAGGAAATAACACTACCCAGGAACAAAAAAATGGTTACACAGTGTTATCAGTGTCGATAATTTGAATGTTCCTGTCTGGTTCTGCCTATCTTGTTCCATTAGCCCCAAGGTAATACACATGTCAATCCACTGCTGGATGAGGGCCTGCCCACTCCGTGCTGTGATGGGGGTTAATGACCACACTTCACCACGGTGGCCAGTGCCATGTTGCGTGCAGGTTGGGGAGAAGAGGTTCGGGAAAACAATGCCACAGATGTTCCTGCACTGCCCTCTGCTGCTCTACAGCTACATTGCAGGCAGCGGTAGAGCAATGTTGTACTCGTGAAGGGGGCCGGCAACCAAAACAACACGTCAAGCATTGATAATTGTTTTTTTACCCTTCTATCTGGCAACAAAACGGGCACAGTAAAGTCATGTTTGCATAGACCACAATACCTGCAGTCATAATGCAAACAAAAAACATAACTCTGTATGCACTGTCCTTGAAGTTGATTGGTCCACACCCGAGACAGCTTTCCTTAGAGCCTAGTGTCACATGGGTTGGACCAGATGACGCCAAAAGGCGCACAACTCAAAGACAATGCACCATCAGAGTATGAGAGCTCGGGGTAAGCATTTACACCAAATGCTTACCCCGAGGTGTCAGTTTTGTTGCCAGATAAAAGAGTAAAAAAACCCATTATATTTTTTACTGGCAAATGAGGTTCCAATGACGTAAAGCATTTTTTTCGAATTCGGTAGAAACAAAGCGAAATATTTCAAGAGCCGCAATGCTTGCGAATACGAGAACGGTGGTCCTTAAAGAGCCGCATGCGACTCTTCAGCCGCAGGTTGCGAACTCCTGCACTGCTGTGTTCAGGCTTAAACCTGGTAGCTGCCGAGCTGTGACGAGATCGGGCATATTCATGAGGCTTCGTCAACGGCCCCGAAGGTAACATTTAACCTGTCATTTGTGTACACTGTAAAATATTCAGTTTTGACACGCATGGGTTGATTGTTTTATAATTATTCAGAATGTTTATTCCGGAAGGTCTCACCGAGTCTCAAGACACGGAGGGTCCTGCCAAAGTTGTCGGAGTAGGAGGCAACGTTGCTGGCTGTGCGTGATCCCAATGAGCATATTTTTTTAAAGATAACTTTTCAGCAATGGGATGTTCCGCCAAATCAGTTTACAATGTGTTTTTTTTTCAGCCATGGGAGGAAAAACGGAGAACCCAGAGGAAACCCATGCAGAATAGGGGGAGAACATTTAAACTCCACACGGATCGGTGCTCAAGACGAGGAATCAAACCGAGCCCACCACATCACTCCCGATGCATGCAGCAACACTAGCAAGTTTTTTTTCTCTCTCTCCACATCGTTGATTTGATGACTCCACACCCACCTGTTGATTCCAGGCTGCAGATTCTCCCTGACGCCCTGCGCTCGTGTGTTCATGAAGTGCACGGGGAGGCAGGACTTGAACGTCACCTGGCGGGGGGTGGCAGTCATCAAGGGAAGGGCCCAGCGGTCAACAAGGACTTAAAATTTCACACTTAACTTCTAACTTAGCAATCTTTGGAAAAACGTAATCAACCAGGCTATGCGTTAATTGTGTGTTGACCGACTCTCTGTGTTGCATTGCATTTCGAAATTTTGCACAGGTTATTTAATTTAGTGTGTCTCTCTCTCTCTGTCTCCCCTCGTTTTGTCGTTCTTATGTACTGCTCTCTGTGTGTGTATCTGTTGTTGTTCTTTCTCTGCTTGTATGTCTGTCTTCGTGTCTGTGTCTTGTCTCTCTTTAAAATTTCACACTTAACTTCTAACTTAGCAATCTTTGGAAGAACGTAATCAACCAGGCTATGCGTTAATTGTGTGTTGACCGACTCTCTGTGTTGCATTGCATTACATTTCGAAATTTTGCTAGGTTATTTAATTTAGTGTGTCTCTCTCTCTGTCTCCCCTCGTTTTGTCGTTCTTATGTTCTGCTCTCTCTGTGTGTCTCTGTTGTTGTTCTTTCTCTGCTTGTATGTCTGTCTTCGTGTCTGTGTCTTGTCTCTCTTTAAAATTTCACACTTAACTTCTAACTTAGCAATCTTTGGAAGAACGTAATCAACCAGGCTATGCGTTAATTGTGTGTTGACCGACTCTCTGTGTTGCATTGCATTACATTTCGAAATTTTGCTAGGTTATTTAATTTAGTGTGTCTCTCTCTCTGTCTCCCCTCGTTTTGTCGTTCTTATGTTCTGCTCTCTCTGTGTGTCTCTGTTGTTGTTCTTTCTCTGCTTGTATGTCTGTATTCGTGTCTGTGTCTTGTCTCTCTTTAAAATTTCACACTTAACTTCTAACTTAGCAATCTTTGGAAGAACGTAATCAACCAGGCTATGCGTTAATTGTGTGTTGACCGACTCTCTGTGTTGCATTGCATTACATTTCGAAATTTTGCTAGGTTATTTAATTTAGTGTGTCTCTCTCTCTGTCTCCCCTCGTTTTGTCGTTCTTATGTTTTGCTCTCTCTGTGTGTCTCTGTTGTTGTTCTTTCTCTGCTTGTATGTCTGTCTTCGTGTCTGTGTCTTGTCTCTCTTTAAAAACGTAATCAACCAGGCTATGCGTTAATTGTGTGTTGACCGACTCTCTGTGTTGCATTGCATTACATTTCGAAATTTTGCTAGGTTATTTAATTTAGTGTCTCTCTTTCTCTCTGTCGCCCCTCATTTTTGTCGTTTAGTCGTTTTTTTGGCGCAGGCTCCGTGCCACTCATTGACATGCTAATTTCTCTACCCCCCCCCCCTCTCTGTCCGCCCCCCCCTCTCTATTTAAGGCCTCGACACAGAGGCGTGGTTTCTCTGTGTGCCTATGTATGTGTCTCTCTCTATGTATCTCTGTGTTATCTCTCTCTGCATATGTGTCTGTCTATATGTCTCCGGTTCTGTGTTTTATCTCTCTCTCAAATTTAGCATTCTCTGGAAGAACGTAATCAACCAGGTAGGGTGTTGACTGTTATGTTAGCCGACTCTCTGTGTTGTATTGCATTATATTTCTAAGTATACTAGGTTTGTATTATATTTTATTTTAATTATACCTGATGATGATTGCTTGTGTTGCAATCGAAACGTCATATGCGATTATTTAATGTATTATTTTCTCTTTATACGTGACTTTACCGAAAGAACCAAAGAGCGGTCATCAAGGACCTCAGAACATTGTAACATGACAGCGACTCCAACCTGTTGTGTATAAAGCGGCAGCTTGGTTAAAAAAAATGCCGTAGCAAATGTTTAAGTTCGGAGTGCCTGGGAAAGCAAAGGTCAGCAGAGCCCTTATTCTGCTAAGCCAAAGTCCCATTTGTTTGACATTTGGTCAGCTGCTTAAGATTTTATTTCTCCACGTGCTTCTATTCTGCGCCTCTTCACTGCTCACACCCACTATCCACATATCTCGTTCCACTGCATCCCTCGCATCTCATGCTTGGCCTCCCTCTACTCCTTGTGCCCTGAACCGCGACCAGCCAATCAATTGTTCTGAACCAAAGTATGCTGTTGGGGGGACAAAGGTGGGGGGGGGGGTTAAGGAACTTGCACTGTCTCACTGATCAAATCGTCTACCTCTCTGTTGCAGCATGGCAGCTCCCTTTATTTCTCGACTAAAATGGCAAAGATGTTACATTTCTATACGTGCGGCAAACCGGTATCTGTATTTAGCATTATTTTTGCATGCAGCTATGGGTAATGCAAATAAAAAACCTTTTAACAACCCGAATATTTTAAAAACAAGCAGCTCTTCTGTTATGTCCGGACAAAAAAAAGACCGTTCCATGAATTTCAAACAGACGTGTATAATGCACACGTCAAGTCGTCAACACACCGTGTCGCACTAGAGCAGATGAGACGCAACACAGCGGCCCCGTCCCTCTACGCAGCAGCACGAAACGGCGAGCCGCGGTTGTGCGGAGAAGCCATACCTCCTCCAGCAGGGTGAGCTGCAACGCTATCTGCGTCGCCGTGTAATTGGCCAACATGTACGCGCCGGGGCTCTTGGCGCTGTGCTTGTACACCGAGGTGTCCCTCTCGCCGACCGAGGACATTTGTCGGAAGAGGCCCAGGCAGCCCGAGACGGACATCTGCTGCTGCACGGGCAGCCGGGCCTTGTGTTGATCTCGGGCTCTCTGCAAGGTGGACACAAGATCACACATGTAAGTGACGCAACTACATTTCATGTTATTTCGTCTTTTTGTGGAGTCATTTGCCGACTGGGCTGAGATGTATCAACTCACTACAGCTGAGAATCTCGTTGAATTGCAAGTCTCAACGGTGACGGCTTGGTTCTCTAATATGGTATGAGCGCACAAAACCACGGGGCCACCTCATCCTTCATCACACTACTCTGACTTATGTATATATGTATGTATGTTGAACTTGATAATAGTTTGTTTACCCTTTTATCTGGCAACAAAACAGATGTCAGTTTTGTTGCCAGATAAAAGGGTAAAAAAACAATTATCATATTTTTACTGGCAAATGAGGTACCAATGGTACGTTGAACTCCTTTCGCACCGGGCGTAGCCAACCATGCTAATCGTAGGTGCAAGCGCAAGCGAGTGATTCATTAAGCCGGTGACTTTACTTTCACACTCACCCGCGCCGCGCCGATGTCCAAGGAGGCACGTGCCGATGCGGGGCCCGGTGAGAACACTGCGTAATCGTCGTCCTCCTCCAGGCTGCTCAGTGACCCTTGACCCCTGGAGTGGTCGCAGTTGCTGCTGTGGTGCAGAAGGTGCTGCCCCGCCGTCTCGTGGTATGAGACCACCTGCCATTGTGTCATGTCGTGGGTGTTGGGAGGTGCAGAACACGTGGTTTGATTCAGGTGGTGGGCATTTGGAAGTGTCTTTATGTGTGCGCGTCTGTTGATATGGAGTGACAACATTGGGTAGGGCTGTTGGTAAGAAGGCTGCCAATGATTATACAACAATCTGCATAACCAGGTGCCAGGCCTCTAGGCCAACTTACTACTCTTTTATAGAACTGGTATCGGCCCAATGCAAAATACTCCAAAGGTTTAACTCAATGAAACTGAATTGGCTATGTTTACATCTGAGTGACATGGCCAAGTTCAGGAGGAGGCAAGTGTAATTAAAATAACTCAGAAAAGATAGAGACGAAGGGGCAGAAAAATAAAGATGCTGCTTGAGGATTTGGAAAGAAGTGACATGAAGAAGAAATATCAAAATCGGACAGAATGGAGGATGCTTGAGCCATGAACCTGCCACTGGGCAGATGACTAAAGATTAGAATTGGCCAAATCATGGCACCTTTGTGATTTTCCCCATTTTTAGCAATGGAGAAATCAGCAAATTTTTTACCAAAACTGCGCAAACAAAATAACATTCACCAATGCATCAACTGGGACCATTTGCCAGGACGTGAACCCCCCATTTATGCCTGCTGCCCAATGGCAACTCAGAACAAACCGTTCACATCACATTCCCTCTTCTCATGCAGTAATAATTCATAACAAATAAACAAACACCCCAGAGGCCACGAGGCATGCGAGTAATTATAGCGAGTGAGCGATCAAGTAAAGTCTATTTGTTTAACCAGGTGAGAACCCAAGAGACCAGGGTACCGTCTCGTTTTCAAGAATGACCTGGGACACCAAATGATGAAAGCAAAACAAATAAAAATTAACCCGTAAAAACAAAGTTTTTCACTATAAATCCTTCATATGCGTGGCATCGGTTTTATTTTATTATTCATTTCTGTTTTTCTTGAGTAAGAGTTTCATTTTTATCACATTGGTTTTTTAAATTAAATATCAAATGTTTTTTTTCCTAAAAAGTGGGAAATTTAGGAAAAACATTTTCACGAAAAATAAATTGTCACGCACAACGAGTCTGTGTGCAAAATGTCAGCTCGATTGGATCACGGAAAGTGGGTTAAAAAACGACCGAAAAATTTGCACGGTCGTAAGCGCGCAAGCAAGCAAGCAAGTGAACTTAATATAAAGGATTTAAAAATGTAATACAGCAATGAGGATAAAAGTACAGTGATGCTCACCTCCCCCCACTGGCTCACCACACACGCCTCACCTTGTTTAAGATGAATCCCTGCAGTATGCTGGTGAGTTCCGCATCGCCCGCGAAGTCCACCCTGTAGCATGTCTGCAACCACATGTGCAGCAGGTCCATACTGCGCTGGCAGATCTTGGACGAATGTGGCGTGTAGACACTACGGGGACAAGCAAGAGGATTGCCGCAAACAAGACACAAAAAAGAGAGGGGGGCAAAGAATGTTTTAAACAGCGGCGCCTCGTATCCTGTGAATAATGTATAATGTAAAATAAAACCGTATTTTTGGTTTTCTTCTTCAGACCGCTTGTGTTGCGATCGAAACGTCGTGGGTTTTTTGCTTTTAATTTAGATTTTTGTTTTCTATCTACCTGACTTTACCGAAAGAATCAAGAATATGAATTCCTGCAGTCACGGAAGTTTTAAGTCTAAATATAACAAAACCGTTTTTGAGTTATCCTGTTAGATTGTGGGCAATTAAAAAATATACGCAAGGATCTCTTTCACCAGAGAAAAAAAAACCCCCACAACATTTGAGTTGATGATCCAAAATACCCTCCCGTACCAATGTTTTTCAACAGGATCTGTGCCGGGGTTTTCCTCTTTAGACAAATGCCCCTGTAAAATATTGACCAAGAAGTCCTTTTGGCTGATGGATCTGAATAATACATACGGACCGGGCGATTTCACGGTAGCGGTATTACACGAACAATGCAGATGTATTACCTATGGAAATGAAATGGGCTTTTAATGTAATCACTCCCAATTTGCTGAGTGAAAACATTTTAGAAACTGTAAATCCACAAATTATGATTATGTTAAACTCGCCTTTTGCCCGTTCAAGGACGGGTGTATTGCAGTAAATCTAAAACTTGCAAACGAAAAGCAGACCTCGACGAGGTATTCTTTGCATCCATTCGTGTGCAATTTGTAAGGCCGCGGTGACACAGACATTTTATTTAAAGGTTATAATCCCTTGTTTATCATGACGTCTTTTTTACTCCGATGTCTCAACAGCGTGACGGAGATCACGTGACGTGAGGGTTCTGCCTTTGCAGTGAGGGTTGTAAGTTGACGCCGAGGGGGGAGGAGGCGCCTCGGCCCCCCCATATGGAGTGACGTCACCCGCTAATTATTGTTAATGGCGGGGGGGGGGTCCATTTGGAGGACGTCGCCTGTTCATGATTATTAATGAGGGGGACTGGTCGACGTGGAGTGACGTCACGCACGTTACACACTGACATTCTTGGGTAAATATAGTAGTAAATTGTGGGATTATCAAGTCCGGCATTTCATGCTGCAATTCCATTACCATGGTATTGACTGAATGTTGTACATGACCAATACAAATTTAGTTTTTTTACACACTCAACACAAGGACTCACAATGAAAAAACACATTTTCCAAGGTGTCAGGTCTAAGCACAGGCGACAACGGGTCTTGTGATAACCACAATGATGGGTGTACTGCTTCTATGTGAATGTATTCCCTGTGGGCAAATATATGCCCAACCTACAACCAAATCACAATGGCATCTACAATCACATCACCGTGAACATGCCCAATTATGGCAGGTCAGTTTAGTATTTGAATGGGAGACTACCTGGGTATACCAGGTGTTGCATGTAGTCTTTGGCTACGGGGTGGTCAATTGATGGTATCACAGCAATGGCTTCACTTCATCTGTGCGGAGCTTTGAGTGTCACACCCTTCTCGTATGCACGGTAGATTTTCTGCAGGTAATCCGGTTTCCTGTCGCACGAAGTTAAATACTCACTTATCGAATTGGCCAACCATCCCAACGCAGTACTCCCGTGAAAAAGAGTTCTGAGAATCGGTGAAGCATTATTTGATAAAAAAAAAGAAAATTATAAATTAAAGATGCTACTCTTTACCTGGAGGCATTTACAAACTGCTCCATGATAAAGCTGAGGAGCTGCTGAGGGGAAACAAAGTAGCGGTACGTGTAGAAGAACTGGTGAATGTATCCCTGGGACAGCGAATTCCTGTAACCCACAGCACACGTGTGCGCGCACACACACGCACAACACGGAGAGAGAAAAAGAAACGAGTTCAAACAGTCATGCATTCGCATGAATTATGTAACACTTTCCAACATGCATCTGTCTTCAAAAGCATTTCGCTAGCAGTACGGAAGCCTACAGATAGCTGTCAGGGCAAAATGATTTTGCTCTGGTTTGTGACTCGGAATGCTGGGCAAGCAACCGTTCAATAATTTGGTTGCTTTTCAATAGGGTAAGTGCCCAATAGCAACGCAATTGTATACTGAAGTCGTGTTCTCACTAGGTACGTTTACGAGTCTTACAGTGCCTCACTGTTAACGAAGGATGGCCCTAATGTGTCAATGCTTTCAACCCAAGTTGAAACTTTTAAAAGAGCATAAAGGCGTCAATCCACCTGCCCCAAATACGAGTTAATCTTTAAATTATTTCACTGGCTGGCAGCTCTGTGTTACCACAGAGGCTACTTAATGGCATATCCCAGCATTTTGAATTTTCAACGCAATCATAAGAAGCCAGAATTACATTAGACGCAGCCGCACAAACCGAGCAGTGGATTTGCGATGCAAGGGTGCAGCGGCAAAACAAACGGACATTTAAGAGCATTTGGATATATATTTTTAAGCTATTCAATTGCTCTTCAAGGTGGCCCGTGAACTGGACATCATAAAGTAAAAAAGGAGGAAGCGGGTGGACGTCACTGGCTCGTACTTGGCATAGAGGTAGGACATGAGTCCGAGGGGGGTGCCTGCATGAACAAAGGCCGTGGACTCCTTTGGGGCACCCTCTTTGGGTGCGGCCGCCTGGAAGAGGAGGCCAAAGGTCGGGGGAGCCACGTCTTTCGCGTCGCCGGCCATCGCGTCTTCCGCCTCCTCCTCCTCCCCCATGTCGGTGGTCACGGAGTCCGGGCTGGGCTGCCCCGCAAATCGGCTTGTCTTGAGCGAGGGCAGGTCGTACAGGTTCAAGCCACATTGCTCAGCCGTCAGCAGCTGCGGGTTAGTGGCACAATGGCGGTGATGACGTAGACAACAATAAATGTTGAACAGCTCTCTGATGTGTATTCAGATTGCACCGCATGTGTTGTTTTGACAGATAAGAAAAGACGTGATTTCGAAAGTTTTCCCTCCACGTGCTGCGAGCGTAGCCAGTAGAGGAAAACGCCGGACGTCATGGCAAACAACACGTGGTACAACCTGAACACACTTCATTGAGTTAAACAGCACAATCCCAAAATGCCTACTCACAAGTTACGAATGCCGAAGTCATGGAATAAATGGAGAGGCATTGGGTGTAATGCTAAGAGCACCTCCGATTAGTACGGTTGGCTACTTATGGTGCGAAAGAAGTTCAACATCCATAAGAGTTCAACTTAAACTGGTCACCGTTTTAAAATATTTTTAGCAATCAAAATCTCTCGGGCCTGGTGCCTGCCACGGGGTCACAAGGTCCACACCTCCAGGTAGGAGCGCACAAAGTGCATCAGTTCCACTTTGCCCTGTGTCTCCTCCATCTGGGACGTGAGCTTGAACAGCAGCCCACGATCGCCACCACCTGTTGGCGGAAATGGGCAACATCATCCGGCTACCCACAATGCAGAGCAGGCGATGTCATCTAGCCACCCGGCAGCAACATTTGACAGCAACGTTGCCTAGAAGGCTGCAGTGCAGGTTACATACAGCCTTGATACCACGTAGGGGTCCTTTCGAGAACACATTCGGATTCATGTCTGTGTCTGGTTTTGCTGCAGTGAGTGAGTCTCACTTTTGCTCTTGACGGATCCCTGCGTGAGCTTGCGGTAGTACGTCTGCGTCTTTTTTAGGTTCTTCTTCTCCAGCATCAACTGCTGCTCCAGCTCCTGCAGGAAGAAGATTTTTTTTGGTTTGCGGCGGTAAACATCCTGGCAGAAATGTACGGAGGTGAAAACAAATGTATGATGGGCACATCATGGCAGCTTTTGTTATCACGTGCACACGATGTGTTGCACATATTAGCTGCGCCTGTCCTGGGTCCCCCCCTAAAGCAACTCAGCCTTTTTAAAAACTAAATAAAGTTTCCCGAATTGCATCGAGATTGTGCAATCGGCATCATATCATGAGACAATGTGTGTATTCGGATTTGTCGCAAAACACCGCAACTCTTCATGTTCGAGATGGTCCACGTAAGTGTATATCACAGAGTTACCTCTGAGATGCCTTCAAGTGACCTCTTTCCCACATAGCAGGGGGCAGCGCTCTGCCACTGAGAGTAATGTCCGTCGCAAGATAGTCAACCCGATATTTTTAATTCTCGGAGCTGGACTTTAGCCAAATTGACTGCAGAACCAAATATGGCACGATGTTGTTTTTGCTGCGCAGTCATTAGTGACCAGTTTGAGACAATCAGCTCACTACACTTGAGAACCCAGATTAATATCGGGCAGCTGCCTAGATGTGAACCCAAGATCTAAGTGATGCCAGCTCAGGGTTTTCTTCATCTTTTTTTTAAATCTTGGAGCCACTTTGCCACCTTGCGATTCAGCCTTAAACGAGTATCAGCCAAAGTGTGGCATACTTGTTGGCATCTGGTGCACGCACCTGCAACCTCTCCTCCAGCCCGGCGCTCTGCCCGTATTTGCGGCCCAACGTCTGTGCATACGTCTTGATTTCCTCATTGAAGTCCGCCTCGCCGCGGAAGGCCAAGGCCCAGCCAAGGCATGTGGGCTGTGGCCCGGACGGACATGGAAGTCCGAGCTGGGGCCACCGCTGCTGGCGCCGTCCCCGCTGCAGCTGCCTCCGTCTCCACCACCGCCGCCACCGCCACCAACGCTGCCACCGCTGCTGCTGTTGTTGTTGGTCATCCGGCTGCCACCGCCACCACCGCCACCAGCACTTCCGCCGCGAGTCTCTCCGCCGGGCCAGCCGAGAGTGACATTGGGACCCAAGGCGCCATCTCCCTCGTTCCCCTCCCACGACTCCCGGCTGTAGAGCTCGGAGAGGGAGGAGTTGGCGCTCTGGCAGCTGATTGGCCGTCGCAGGGCTGGCAGTGCCGCAGGGGTTTCCTGTGAGTGGAAGGTGCAATGGTAAGACAGATGTTGCGTGAGAGCCACCTTTGTCTCAAAGGGTTATCACCTCGTTGCGCAGTTTTCTTTCATTCATTGACACATCAAAAATACAGATCGGCAAAACGGGAAAATATTTTCCTATCCTGCAATTTCTTTCCGACTGCATCGTTTATTTTGAATTCTATAATTACATCCATTATTAATGCTGCAGCGTGTGTTAATTATTAACAAGTAAAGAACATGATTTGCAGGCACAGAACTTTCCTCTCACAATGGAAAATTATCCGATGTTCCTACACAGCACCTCTAGCGGCTGCAGGGTGGACAGGAACGACGATGAGGGTCTCTCCATGACGCCGCGTGGGTCGTGGGGGGTGCTGTGATCGCATTGCACCGTGCAGCATGAGCGCAAAAGTAAATATGAATCAAGGAATTGACACGTCGCGACACTCCCGAGTTCTTTCAAGCAACGCCGCCATTGGCAGCGATGATTGTTACTAGAATTCAGCGTCATTTCCTAAATGCTTTGAGCCACCGGACGCGTGGATCAAACAGAGACTGGGCAGCGGACGTTCACATCGCGACATTTTTGCACGCACCGCTGCCTTCTCCGATGCCGGTGTCCTTCTGACAGACGGATTTCCAGACCTGGATTCCGGCCTGATCGTCGGGCGACCGCTCCGGTGCAGGAACCTCGCTGACGTTGCCGGATGTCACGGCCGGATCCGGGCCTGCATGGGCGGCATTGGGGAAACAAATAAACACGGCTTAGTTGCATCCAACGAGGCTATTACGAGACATAGAGCTGAAATAATCACATATGGGCAGTATGTAAGTTACATTTGATTGAAATTAAACATCTCAATGGAATTTGTACATTTTATCCAAATTATGCGAGACAGTTTTTTTTGTCATTTGTATAAATTGAATGTACTTTGTCCATCACGGAATATTACGAGTAAATGTTAACCAGTATTCGGTCCCATTGCTGTGTACGTTTGCGGTGGCACAAAGCATGAAAAATAAGAATGGGCTTTACCCTTTCTGGCAATAAAACAGGTGTTAAGATTTACACCATTGGAACCTCATTTGCCAGTAAAAAATATGATAATTGGTTTTTTACCCTTCTATCTGACAGCAAGGTATATGCAAGCATGACTCCTTGTAAAAAAGGTGTCAGTTTTGCTGCCAGATAGAAGGGTAAAAAAACAATTATCATATTTTTTTACTGGCAAATGAGGTTCCAATGTTGTAAATGCTTACCCCGAGCTCTCATACTCTGATGGTGTATTGTCTTTGAGTTGTGCGACTTTTGGCGTAATCTGGTCCAACCCATGTGAGACTAGGCTCTAAGGAAAGCTGTCTCAGGTGTGGACCAATCAACTTCAAGGACAGTGCATACATTATCAGAGTTATGTTTTTTGTATGCATTATGACTGCAGATATTGCGGTCTATGCAAACATGACTCCTTGTAAAAAAGGTGTCAATTTTGCTGCCAGATAGAAGGGTAAAAAACCAATTATCAGGTGTTAAGATGTTCAAAAACCAAATAGATACCTTGGACATGCAAACAAACATACTCACCACAAGTACATGTGGTTAATGCAGACTTGATGCCTTTAAAATGTATTTATTTGGTGTTTGAACATCTTAACACCTGTTTTACTGCCAGAAAGGGTTAAATATATTCTTATTTTTCATACTTTGATACACGAGCCCAAAATGTGTACACAAGAAACAACACGATTCATTTGAATGCCGCTTACTGAACAAGGTAAGAATTCATAGTGCCTCGTGTATTTTCCGAGAGGGAGCCTGAACACTCGAATGTATGAACAGTTATTCATAATCCTGTACTTTAGTTGCTGGCAATTGCCGACCTAGGATTTTGGTTATGGCACAGGTAATGAATGACCCATTCTTGTAAAAAAATTACGTCACATTCCACTTTAGAGCAGATGGTACACTTTAAAATAAACAACGTGCAGAAATTACTGAACGAATGTGGAAATTGGACCATCTATGTTAATTTGCTTGCACTAACCACTAGGTTAACCGGTTTCTCGATTAAAGTCTCACATTGTGAGGACAGGAGTAAAAATCACAGCCAGGGTCACATCGGTTAAAAATGATCATTACCATCGTGATTATCATCATCATCGTCTTCTTTATTGTGATCACTATATGTATTATTAACGTCGTCATCATTATCATCACCATCATCACCCTGACCATCACCATCATCAGTATCACTTCAAAGTCAGTCAATTTATGAATTTGAGATTAACTTAGTGCTACATCAGAAGAGGGCTGGCCACACTATGACATAGGACATAGCCTTGTCATTTTGTGAATAATGTGCAGGTTACAAATCGTTTTGATGATTGTTATTACTACACACACACTGGAAATCCTTCCCTCCCTATCCCCACCACCACCGCATACACTCGCCTGTGCACTGCACTCTCCCGGCAACCTTTGACCCCGAGCCCCGGGAGTCTCCCGAGCCAGGGGTGGCGCTCTTTCCGGCGCTGCGCGGCGTGCCGTGCTGCCGGAACGTGCTCTCCGACCAGGTCCGCGAGCGCAAGCTCCGGAGGCCAGGCTCCATGTCGGTCGCCCCGCGATTGCCCCGGCCCGCGTTGCTCGTCACCGGCTCGGGGCCCGTGCAGTCGATGCGCCGCTCGACGCCTGCTTGGGACGGCGGCGGTGGCTTCTGAAAGGACGGCCTGCTTTAATGGGAAACGCGCAATCCCACCCCCCGCAACAAGTTAGGAAGAATCACGCGCAAGCGTGAATTATGTAACGCTTTGCAAAATTGTAACTGCTTGTTGTGTTTAGTTGTTGCCCTTCCCCCGCACCTACAGTGCTAAAGAAGTTAAAGATGCATATAATTCGATTTGTCTTCGAAAGCATTTAATATACAATTGTGTTTGTACATGTTTGAAAATCGTCCACTTTGCTCTGGTTTGTGTCTACAGGTTATGGGCAACCCTTCGGGCCAATTTCTAGGAATGTAAATAAAGGTAAATCTTGAATAGCAATACAATAAATCTGAATCTTCACAAGTTCACTGAAATGTAGGATCGGAGGGAAGGAGCAGTGTGATTCGTGAGACACAAACAGTGTTCCACATCGTGACTTCGGGGAGGTTGACCTCTGTATCTTGAGAGGCGGCATGGTGTCGCGGGAGTGCAGCTTGCGGAGGAGCCCGTCGTCCCAGTACAGGTCCGGGTAGCGCTCCTTTACCAGGTAGCTGAAAGCCTTGAAGTTGAGCACACGCAGGGCTCGGATAAACTCAGCTGTGAAGTGGAGCCAGATGTGGTGAAAGGGGCGGTGGGGGGGAGGGAGGGAGTCAAATCGATGCAACAAAATAATTAACTTGCACTCAATGTCCTGATAATGCACACACAAATCACCCAGAATGCATCACGATCCTGTAAGGCCTCGCAAGATAAGCAAAGTTTGAGACTGGATAGTGCTTGGATGGTTGACGATCGTGCATTAAACAGGTGCAATAGGCAATCGCAATTTGCATTATCATTGTATTCTTTTTACACTTTTCTGTAATTCCAGTACGAATAAAGGTTAATTAGAAGTTATTCAGAAACAGTTCACTCAACATAAGCGTGCCATAAGTCTTTTAATCATTGCAACTTTATAATCTGTAATGGTTATAATGCACACTGTCAGTGGGACAATGAATAATCACATAATAAAATGAAACCGAAAGGGATGACATCAGAACCGCCATGCCATCAAATACTTATTAATGCAGAGCATTAATTTAATGCATGATAGCTAGCTAATGACTGTGTTTGCATTTCATAAATATTCTCAACAATTAAGACACGATCGTCATGATATTTAGCAAAATGGACGATTTGATTATTGCTGATCTTATATCGTATGATATATCGTAGAATCGCCATATCGTGGTCACCCTAACCACCACTACTGCTGGAGCACCGGTTAATTCATGGATTTGCTCACCCATCTCCATCTCCACGGCACCGTTTTCCATGTAGCCCTCAAAGGCAAACTCCTCGCGCAGCAGCCTCAGGATGCGCTGCTGCTGGGGGCTGATGGGACGCGGTGAATGGGGACCCTCAGGCCGCCCCCGTGCGGCCATTCTGGCCCTGATGTCCAGGCGACGATGGCCCCACCTCAGGGCTGGATGGCGTCCGGCGTCTCCCCGCAGCCGGCACGGGCGCCCGGCTGCCCCACTGCGCCTCGGGGCTGTAGCCGGAACCCTGCGTACCGCTCCCCTCGTAACTTCCCGGGTGTCCCTGCGCCTGAGCCGCCCACATCTCCGCCCGGCGGAACTCCAGGTCCGGGCTGAGTGAGCAGGCCCGACCGCCGAAGCTACCGTTTCCCCTAGCCCTGCCGCCCACCGCCGTCCGCCCGGCGGCCGCCGTTCCTCGGCCCTGCACCGGAGTGCTCGTGGTCCACTGCTCGGGGCGGCCCCGTGGCCTGGCGACAGGCATCGCCGGCTGGCGAAGCGGCCCACTTTGCGAGCTCCAGTTCGTGGCACGTCCAGGTGACAAGGGGCTGCCGCAGTCCGGCGAGGCGGGGTGGTCCGGCCCCCGACCGTCCCCGTTGGAGTTGGGCCAGTTGCCACGAGCGAGCGCCGCGGCCCACGCACCGTACTGCGCCGCGGGAGCGTAACTCCCGGCGGCCGACATCATCACGAGCGGCGAGCTGCTCACGACGGGCCCAGGCGCGGGAGCGGCGGCCCCGGCGGGGTCCTGCGGGGAGGAGACGGGGACGAGGAGGTAGTTCCCCGACGACTCGTCCAGGACGAGGGAGAAGCATTGCTGCGGGGCCGGTGAGGCCGCGGGTTGGCACGGATTGTGGTTCTCCGACTGCCTCCGGCTCGGCTGCGGTTGACCGGCGGCGGCGGTGTCGGCGGTGGTGTCCGACGGCAGGCGAGCGGTCGTGTGGTCGGCGTCGACGCCGCTTTGCCGCGACACCCTACGGTGCCCCGTCTCGGTCCACGTTTGCTGCCGGAGAACGCGGCGCCTGGGCATCTGCTGTGCGCCGTCGTCGACGCTCATGCTCCTTCTGCAAAAAAAAATAAACGAGTCTATAGACACTCTACATATTCACTCAAAAATGCCTCACAAATGCAATGTAGTGCCCTCTGCCCCCCCCTGCCTCCCAAGACTCCATTTGACATGTTACCCAGATGTTTCATCATTTACCAATAAGACTCCCAACCCGTGGTCTCCCGAGGTAAGTGGCAATGCCATTAGAGGATTTGAATTTTTTTTAGATGTTTTTAACCTATAAGATAAGCATGGTGAAAATGTTCATAGCTGTTTTTTTTAACAGGTAAAACCTCATATGATTTGTAGATAGCGCATCATCAACACCATACATGCGTGGTTACTTCTGGTCAGAATGAGACTTTAAATGAGATCTTACCGAACGATTAAGATTACTCAGGTGATGTGGATGAACAGCATAATATCTTATAATGTAAACACACAAACACACATGCAGTATGCTAAAATTGCAAGAGAATCTCGCAATACAGGACCGACTTTGTGTCATTATGATGAAAGTATGACTGAGTGTAGGTGCTCCTGCCAATTTCTGCTGCCAATTATTGTCACACATGGCAGAGGCAATAAACAGAAACAAACGTAACAATAATCAGATAGCAATTTTTCCACAGATAGGAACTTAAGCATCACCACAAACATAGTCTTTCATAGCGTGTTAAACAATTGCACGAGTTTCGATTTAAAGCTTTCGTGACTGCAGGGATTCATCTTCTTGGTTCTTTCGGTAAAGTCACGTAGAAGGGAAGTAATAAAATAATAAAAATAAAACATAATAAAATAATTCTCACGACGTTTCGGCCATAACGCAAGCAGCCGTCATCAGTTGAAAACCAAGCATGGTGCTGTTTCATTCAGACGCTGTCGCCTCGACAGATCTGGTTTTCACCTGATGACGGCTGCTTGCGTTGTGGCCGAAACGTCGTGAGAATTATTTTATTATGTTTTATTTTTATTATTTTATTATTTTCCTTCTACGTGACTTTACCGAAAGAACCAAGAAGATGAATCCCTGCAGTCACGAAAGCTTAAATCGAAATTTATATATATCTTTTCAACAAATTCTTTACTCACTCAGGATTGTGGTTTGCACCACCGGCATGCTGCGGAGGGGTCTTGGTGGGAACGGGTCCGCGGACGGCCTCGAACTTTCCCGTCGAGGAGACGGGCACGAAGCCTGTAGCGGTGGGGACGGTCGGTGTGCATTAGTGGGGTAAGCTGTAGTGGTGGGGACGGTCGGTGTGCATTAGTGGGGTAAGCTGTAGTGGTGGGGACGGTAGGTGGGCATTAGTGGGGCAAGCTGTAGTGGTGGGGACGGTCGGTGTGCATTAGTGGGGTAAGCTATAGTGGTGGGGACGGTAGGTGGGCATTAGTGGGGCAAGCTGTAGTGGTGGGGACGGTAGGTGGGCATTAGTGGGGTAAGCTGTAGTGGTGGGGACGGTAGGTGGGCATTAGTGGGGCAAGCTGTAGTGGTGGGGACGGTAGGTGGGCATTAGTGGGGTAAGCTGTAGTGGTGGGGACGGTAGGTGTGCATTAGTGGGGCAAGCCATGGGCGTGTCGCGACGCGCCCCAGAACCCAATTGCGCAGACCGTGAGGCCGTAGTGTTGTTATAAAAAAACGAAAGCAGTTAGAGAATAATCAAAAAAAATTTTCCCCTCCCCAACCAAGCACTGACAACTCAGTGTGACCGGCCGTAACGTGTAATGTTTGTACCGTACCGAGACATTGCACAAATCGGGAGATACATCGCATAGGTTGAAAATTAAAGGTGGCAAGTTCCTCTCAGATCTGTTTGACTCATGCAGTCCAGGGTTAAGTCATGGTTGAGCACTAAACACTAAAAAAACCTACAACTTTACCATAATTCATTCGTAACCCTCCTAGAATAAAGCCCGAAACTCATGTTCAATTAAATAAATAACATAATTAAAGTTTATGCTATATTACAACTACCACTACTCAGATTTGTCTTATGAAGGGGAAATAAATATTATAAATGTAGTTGTATGATTTTAATGCCACGCTGTGACTAATGCAGTTTACCCTGACAAGCATTGGTGTGACGGCATATCGATACATATCGAATGTTAAACTCACAATTCACGTATCGAATCGATTATGTAAGAACTGATGATTTTGTATTCGTATATATGATGTATAAAATGGCTTCCCATGACATCTGTAACCACTGGAGACAATGCCATTCACCACAATATAAACAAATTCTTGAATCATATCATAAACCCTGAACGGAAACAATTTATCGATTTTCCTGCGGCACGGACGGATTTAGTGGGGGGAGGCAAGGGACATCTGGCTGTTTAGGCTTATAATAGTTATAATAGTTATAATATGAACGTTATAAGCAATGCTACCTTTATTACTTGCTGTTTCATGAGGTTGATCTATTCTTCAATTGTTCCCATCTGACATATATTAACCCCTCCCATCTCAGCCTTGTGCTAAACTAGTGAGAGAGTTCAACATGAAGGTAAGGTAGGAATTTTGTGTGTCTTTTTCCTTGTATGTGGGGAGCAGTAGTGTAGCAGTTAGCGCTGTGCTACGAAGCCAATGACCCAAATTCGATTCCCGTTCAAGGCAAACAGCAGTGACAAATATTTGAACCGGTACTGGCCCTCCTCCCCCAGGTCGACTCAGCCTCAAATGAGTACCTGGCACGGTGTGTAAACATCGCCACTAGGAAGTTGGGTGTGGTGCTAGCCACCCAGCCACCCACCCCCGTGTGTACCGTGCTGGTCTCCATAGGTACTCGCTAAGGCTATACGAGGGAGCTTTATCTGTATGTGTAGGGTGACAGGGCGGAGGAGGAGAGGGGGAGGGGGTCTTTCATGGTCAGGTGTCCCTGGGGGTAAAATTCCCTCTTACACCCCAGAAATGTCTAGTTCATGGGGGAATTATTTCAGCTGAACTTCTACAGGCAAGCTTATCGGGACAAATCGTGTTCATGCAAATTTTTTACTGACAGTGTAAATTTAGCTCAAATAAAGCACCACGAGGTCTGCTCAGCCACACTGAACTCATTCACTCCTCCGGGCTGATGCCGGCTAGATATTTGTCCACCCACCCGTGTGCCCATGAGTCATGGCACTGAACACCTGCGTGGGACCGAGTCTGTAAGCATTCCAGTACCTGAGCGGCCCGGGTTCCCCGAATGCTCATTGGTTGAATGAGAGAAGCAGGCCGGCGCTGGACGGGAGGCGCGGGCCGGGCAGGGGGGAGGGCTCTTGGGCTTTGTTCTGGCTCCTTGCTGTCCCGAGCACTGCTCCTGCATTTGCAGAATGTACAGGAAGCAGAATGGAGAGAGAAGAGCAAGGGACAAGTGGCACCGAGACCAGGAGAATGAAGGGGAGTCGCCTCCAAGAGGAATTTTGGAGTCGGCGCTGCTCGGTTGAAGCAAATGCTCTTCGGCTCATGAACAATGGACACACGCATTGTAGCAGTATAACACAGGCATGCGATGCATACATACATCGCATAAAAAATTATACACGTGGTCGCCAGGGCACTGGTGCAAAATCCAGACTACTTAAACAGCTCGTTGAACTCTATCAAACCTGCGTGCGAGGACGATCGTTTCAGGCTACGTTATCCAAATTCACGAAGCTCTTCACATGCCTCGCAAACAGCACAAGCGAGGGGTGCCACGTCACGCAACACTAAACGCGCGTGTTCCCCCCTCTGCTTGTTGTGAACCGATTACAAAAGTGTCATCTCCAATCGCTCGCGCGCGCAGGCAGGGCAACGCGGCTCCTTGTTGCGACACTCGCAGGGAGGGCGAGCTGCACAGTTCCCGTTGCGGAATGCCGCACACCTGCGCAGACACGCCACGGCACACCACGGCCGGCGTGGGCGTGGGCTTCACAGTGGAGTGCACAGGTGGGTGCGGCGCGAATTATACTTCGCGGAGATGACTCTGTGGGCAGTCAACTTCCTGATTAATCATAAGCTACCCAACGTGGACACACACCCCGAGGCATATCCGTCACTCTTTAAAAGACCGGCGGCAAAGATGATTACGCAACAGATGGGATTCATTTTCCACGGTGCAAGTGTAGAGATGCACATTGTACTCGTAAAAAATAAGGTGAACAGGAAGTTAAGCCACAACACCACCCCATTTCCGAAGAATAACCTGAACTCCTTGAGTCTCTTCCATCAGCCAAATGAATACGGTGTCTCACCTGTCCATGCATAGCCTCCATGCGCAACATCATGCAGATCTCTTGGGTGAGGATCCCTGTCTGGCTCTGGTACTCGTTACAGTCCTGGTCGACGGTAAACAGAGACCGGCAACCTTGTCAGCCAAGAGCCTTGGAGCGAAACGCACAGCCTCATCCACCAGCTTATAACACCCGAAGACTGTAAAAGAGGGAGGGCATCCCAAGATATAGTCCTGGCTTAGAGCCAAAGATGACCTTCTTTGAACTTCTTGGCCAACGGTGCTGATCGGAGGTGCGGGGGAAGGAGCAGCAGGGCACATGACATCATTGTTATGGCTGATTACAGCTCAAAAGAGCACAATTTGAATGGCCAACAGCACAGCACATCCCAGCCCAGCGCAATGTAGAAATGAACACCACGGCCAGTTCTGTGGCGTAGCGTTGTTGGCAATGGGCGTGCTGCAAGGAATTAAATGGGGGTCCCACGTACAATTTCCCTGCTTTTGATCTTCCAGCGCCTGAGTCCTACCGTCCCAACGAGCCCCGTTACAGCTTGCACCGAATGCAAAACAACTTGAACAGCTACAAAATCGAACGCAGCGCGCTGCCGCTTGCCCCGTCCGTGGCAACGTGCCGGCGGGCACCTTCAGAACGGTGCTGATGGAGAGGCGCTTCTCGGCGTCGGGTTCGGTCATGCGCGCCAGCAGCTGCTGGAAGTGCTCCGTGAGCTGGGGGCCCTGGCTGCTCGGGAGGCAGAGCGTGGCCGCGGCCAGCACCGTCTGGGCCACGCCGAAAATACACGACTGTTGGAGGTAAAAAGGAGGCGTCGATCACGTGGGTGCAGCGAAAACAAAGGGTTAGTCTTCTTGGTTCTTTCGGTAAAGTCACGTAGAAGGGAAATAATAAAATAATAATAAAATAATAATAAAATAATTCTCACGACGTTGCGGCCACAACGCAAGCAGCCGTGAATGTTCATTCAGACGCTGTCTTTCCGACAGACCTGTTCTTCACCTGAGGACGGCTGCTTGCGTTGTGGCCGAAACGTCGTGAGAATTATTTAGTTATGTTTTATTATTATTATTTTATTATTTCCCTTCTACGTGACTTGACCGAAAGAACCAAGAAGATGAATTCCTGCAGTCACGAAAGCTTTAAATCGAAATTTAAAGGGTTAGTAAGCCATCAGAATAAATAATATCCACGGGGTAAGAGTCAAGACTTCCATGAGGTTTGTTGCGATTGAGAAAAAAGCGGCTGGCGGTCAAGACTAACGTCGGTGCACTTGCCCGCCAAGCAACGTGCCCGAGAGGACGTCCACGGTGGAGAACGAGCAATGAAATCAGCACCTGTGCAGGTGCTCGATGGATTGCTACATCACAAGACAGTGAGGCATGACGATGGCTTGGGGGAGGCCATCACCTCGCAGCGGATTGCTCACGGTTGAGGACGATGATGGTTAAGATAAGTCCTTAGTTACAGGAGATTGCTTCCAATTTGACGAAATAATATATGTTTTATATCACGTGTAGCTAATCGAGGATTTGGCTTTTGGTTTGCGGTAGGTGCCAGCGGAGGGAGGAGCGATGTACACAAACGTTACCTTTTCTGAGATGATTCCCTGCTTTTCAAGCTCTGGGGCCAGAAAAAATTCATCCAGGTCGTCTGAGAAGGGGCAGAGGTATCCATTATGTTGCGAGTAGAGTACCATGTCGCATATCTCATTTGCTGGGGACTGAGGTACAGCACCAACAGTCCATGTAAGATATTCGTATTAGTGTACATATGCACGTGTTGGTGCTTGTGTAAAAGTGTATATGCCTGTGTGGCTAAGGCATTGTGATGTGCGTTCGATTCACAGCCAAAATGAGTGGCGATATATGAAGCGGTGCTGGGCTTCCCCAAGGTTGTGTAATACAGTGACGGCCTTCAGAGGTGTTCATTAACAGCAATTACAAATACCATCTCTGCATTTGTATGTGTTTGTGGATGTCGGTGTCACTTTCTGAGTAGTGGAAGTGTAGCGATTAGCGCGCCGCGCTACGAACCCGGCGACTCGAGTTTGAGTCCCGCTCGCTGCCAACACCAGTGACGATAATCTGAACTGGTTCTGGGCCTCCCCTAGGTCGACTAAGCCTCAAATGAATACCTGGTGCGGTGTGTAAACATCGCCACTGGGGATACAAAGCCTGCCGGGCGTGGTGTTGGCCACCCAACCCCTCGTGTGCGGTGCCGGCCTTCAATAGGTGCTCACAAACAGCACTTGCCCCAACAGTCTGTTAAGGCTATAAGGGGGATCTTTGTCTTTGGGTGTAGCGTTGTGGCTGTTCTGGGCCCTCACCTTGTGGACTCACGGGCATGAATCTGACGATCCCAGAAGGGACTATGGTGACCGTGTCAAGCGACACGTAAACTGCGGCAGAACGGGGCACACGCGCGCTCTGCGTCAGGGCCGCCGACACGCGTTTTATGACTTCAAATGTTATCAAAAACAAAAAACGACATCAATAACAACACGACGCAAATAATTGGTTCTCTGTTTACTTTTAAGGTATAGACTCACGGGATTTTATAAATGATGTTTAACACATTCCTGATGCTTAGAGTTCTCATATGCAGGTAGTTTGAACACGCTTCAGAGACGTAACCATTGCAGGGTAAATGTGTGATGGAAGGCAGGATTGGCAATGAAGACTAAACACATTACGCAATAAAATCAGCAGACTAATTTATTTCGGTTTTGCTCAAATAAAATAAAAATCTGCAAAGAAAGTGCGCAAAGAATAATGGAGATGTGCATGCTCGGGATGTAATTGACATGCAGAAAGCAGAACACATGGATGCAGGTTAAAGACATAATTTCAGCTGTTATGAAAAGTGGGCTTGGGCAGGAGGGTGATGATCATCGCCGGTGATCAAGACTAATGAGTGACAGCCAAGGGAGGGAACGCGCCGGAGAGGACATCCGTCGCGAAGATAGAGTGATGAAATCAGCTCCTGTGCAGGTGCTAGGTGGATTATTAAATTGCAGGACTGTGAAGAATTTCGAAGGCTTGGGGAGGCCTTCATTCAGCAGTGGATTGATCCTGGCAGATGAGGACGATGACAACGACGATGAATAACTCTCACGGGCCAGTCCTCACCTGGTCTCTGCTCCCGGTTCTTGAGAGCCATGACACACTCCCGCAGCACGGCCCACAGCGAAGGCTCTCCGATGTGGTGGGTCAGACCCCAGAGGATCTCACGCAGGGTCATTATCGTCTGAGCGGGGAGGGCAAAGCACAACACCGTCTCAATCGCCGGCGAGGCTCGTCCATAACGGATTACTCTTTACCATGCGGGGCAGCAGCGATGGGTCGTACACTGATCAGCAAACTTCCCATTCGCACAGCTTGATGAAGTCTACGTGTAAATATACACCGCGTTGTCAATCCAATACTGGATGAGGGCATCCCCACTCCGTGTGAAATGTTATTTGACCATAGCTGACCACAATGGCCAGCGTGGGTGAAGATGGGGAGCTTAAACAGCTCGCTCTGCGTGGTTGTCGCTCATCCAAGCACTATCAAGGTAGAATTCTGCTTAGATTCCGAGATCTGATGAGATCGGGCACATTCTGGTTGATTTGGTCACAGGCCTTATGGGCATATAAGTGAAAATTGTTGGAAAGTTGGCGTAGTCTGAAAAAAGCAACATTTTATCATACAATTTTGTCTCACAGTTGACATAAGCTCAAATGTCCACACACGTACACATTAATGTCGATGCCTGTCCACTGCACACATCGTGGCTCTCAGATCCCTCCAGGGATCTTTACGAAGACGGTCACCGCATCGCGCGCTTTTAGATGCGCTTCTGCGACCGTCTGGAACGTTCTTCCTTCCGATATTAGGTAAGTCACTGGAGCTTTACACCTTTAAATATAAATTGAAAACTCATTTCTTTAGAACTGCTTTTTGTGTTTAGTTTCTTGTCCTTCCGCCGGACCTCCGATTAGCACGGTTAGCTACGTACAGTGTGAAAGAAGTTCAACATAAATACATACATACAGAACTGACACATGAAGGGTCTGGGTTAACCACTTAGGGTCCCGACCGCAACTGCCAGCATACCTGGCAGCCACAGGTGGGGGCTATTTAATACTTAAGGACACATTTATGTGGATGAGTCATTGGCCACCCATTGTGTATGAGCCGTACATCATGGGAGCATCGATTAAAGCTACAATGATAATCATCTGCGGGTTGGGGAAGTGGGTGGTGACACCGATGGCCATCAACTTCACTGCTATCATCAGCGGATGAACGACTGGCCGAATACTCACACAGATATATCTGACACAGCACGCAAACATGCAAGGCCAGATTTCAGCGGGTGGCATATAGGACAATTGTCCCCTCTTGAGTCCAAAACTCCAGCGGGGCCCACCAAAAACATTATAGTCAACTCTTGAACAATGCATTACAATACTGTACATTAAATTCTTTCAAGCAAAACTTAGTGTCGTTTCAGAATACATTTCTCAACTTGCAACCCAACCCAGAAAACCGCACTTGAAATACATTTTACAAAACGTATTTGGAAGAGTAGGACTGTGTATTCATAGTGTAAGCGGAGAGGGGGGGGGGGAGGTGAGGTGGGGTGGGGTGGTGATCTTTTCTGCTTTGGTGTCCCAGGAGAAAGATTGCTAAATCTGGCCTTGTACACATGTAAGTGCATTTCAAGTATGCAAGTGGGACACTGGATGAATGATACTAATGGTGATATCGGTTCTGGTGACAGGCCATGGTGTTGTGAGTGTGCAGGCCAGCACACATTTCTGTGTCCATGCTCGCACTCAAAACGCTCGCATAGGTTGCAGCAAAAACAACGCTACCGCTGCCGACATAAATTATGGAGAGGTCTCAATTGTATGCGTGTGCATATGGTCTTTACGGCATATTTAAATAACATCAGTGACATTGCACTGATGGTTTTTAACTGGCAAACATTGAAAGAAATTATTACAAATATCCTCAAGATAGCAAACTATGCTGATAAGCCTCCTTAGTCTCTTGCAGAAGGCTCAATATGTGATGCAATAACCTTGCAATTACCACAGTTCACCGTGTTGGTCAATGCGGGTTGGTGAACGGAGTGCAGGAAATTCAATTCAAGTTGCTGAGTTTATAGTGCAGTGCGATGACCAAAATTATACTAATTTTAATTTATAGCACACCACAGATTATTTGCTCACTCTCAAAAAGAGAGAACAACTCCGAGATACGAGGAACCACAGACAAGCGGGAGGCAGCCATGTGGTGCGCTGGTGCCAAATGCCCAAGTTCTGCGGTCCTCTTTATATGAGATCTTTTCAGCTGGTAAATTAGTGTTTTCATATTCTTAGGTTTTTTCGGTAAAGTCACGTAGGTAAAACATCAAAATTAATGAAAATAAAATAAAAAAAATTAGCTGCAGCTAATCCGGCTGTGACGGTCCCACCTGATGACGGAGACTTGTGTTGCCTCCGAAACGTCGTGATTTTTATTTTATTTTCATTAATTTTGATGTTTTACCTACGTGACTTTACCGAAAAAACCTAAGAATATGAATCCTTGCAGTCACGAAAGCTTCAAATCTAGAATTAGTGTTTTCATGTCGGAGAAAACCAAAACACCCAGAAAAACCCATATATGGGAGTGGGCAACACTATCTTATACAGATGGAGCATATGGACCCCACATTTAACAACATTTGTGTGATCCACCATCCCTCGACCTCCACCGTGCTGGATTATAGGCATGTGCCACAACTGACCACTACTGACTACCCATTGTGCAGTGCATGAAAACGAAACATTTCCTGAGAGCAAGCCATTGTTGAAGATTTCGCAACCCCTATGTATTATCCATTTATGCCAAAATGGAGCCAGTTGCCTTGTCAGGCTGCACCTAAGCAATGAATAAATCACCAAGAACGCGCCCGGTCTTGTCAGACCTAGGAAGCCCAACAAAGTTGGGTCTGGCAATAAAACTTGGATGGGATAATATATGGAAATAACAAGCATGACAGACTTGGACTGTGAGGTGGTCATTGGATATATCTGTACGGAGCTTTAAGTATTTTCCTTGTACGTGGGCTTCTCCTCTGTCTTCTTGCACATGCCACTTTTCAAGGAAAATGGCTAGCTATACTATTCACTATTTTTTATTTTACCAGGTAAGGCCCACTGAGCTGTATAGCTCTTCTTCAGAAGAGACCTAGCCACAAATGATAGCTCAGCGAATCGGTTTATCACGTGGAAATGTATAGCAGCCAAATACTGCAAACGTATGTTGATTCTAAATATGGAGGGAGACACGCAAACTCCAAATATACAAGTTGGGATCATGTCCACGACCTCCTTCATCGCAGGCGATGTAGTTGACATCTCGCCATCTCTCTATTGAAGACCCACCTGAAAACGAGTCTTGAGACTCAATGCGGCTTTGCCGCATGGAGGAACATGAATTTTCGTGAACCCGATCGTGAAGCTTTCATTGGTGCCAAACCAGGTGGCATCTGCCACCGTGTTACCATCTCGCCATCTCTCTATTGAAGACCCACTTGAAAACGAGTCTTGAGACTCAATGCGGCTTTGCAGCATAGAGGAACATGAATTGTCGTGAACCCGATCGTGAAGCTTTCATTGGTGCCAAACCAGGTGGCATCGGCCACCGTGTTACCATCTCGCTATTTCTCTATTGAAGACCCACCTGAAAACGAGTCTTGAGACTCAATGCGGCTTTGCAGCATAGAGGAACATGAATTGTCGTGAACCCGATCGTGAAGCTTTCATTGGTGCCAAACCAGGTGGCATCGGCCACCGTGTTACCATCTCGCTATTTCTCTATTGAAGACCCACCTGAAAACGAGTCTTGAGACTCAATGCGGCTTTGCAGCATAGAGGAACATGAATTGTCGTGAACCCGATCGTGAAGCTTTCATTGGTGCCAAACCAGGTGGCATCTGCCACCGTGTTACCATCTCGCCATCTCTCTATTGAAGACCCACCTGAAAACGAGTCTTGAGACTCAATGCGGCTTTGCCACATAGAGGAACATGAATTGTCGTGAACCCGATCGTGAAGCTTTCATTGGTGCCAAACCAGGTGGCATCTGCCACCGTGTTACCACCCGCCTGAGCTGCGGCCGGCAACTACAAACACGCTCAGCGCTTCACAGCTCGGGGCAGCCCTGCCTGGGACTGTCATTCAAAAGCAACAACAATAACTTGCAGCTCACAAAGAAAACAATTATAAAATATACATCTACTTTGTGTCCCTCCTTCAAAGCAATAAAGGAAATGTCACTGTACACTTAAGTATTTAACAAGTTGATGCAGCAATGCACATACAGCTAGGGCTACCTGTGCTTTTTTTGTAACCACACCTCACACTCTACTCTCCTTTCGTCCTAGATAAGGCAGCTGGGCGATTCGAATACATTTCTGGCCGGTCAAGTCGTAGTGCATTTCAACATCGTATGAATAGCGACAAGGACAAAAATCAAACGGTGCGAGGTGCCTGCGTTACAACTCACACAGCACGCGTGCAAAATAAAGGCACGGATCAGTTTCGCTGCGGGCGTTTGCGCCACAAGCTAAACTCCGGCAATGGGGTTTTCTGGAACCACAAAATGCTTCTTCTACGCTGTTTCCCTCCAGGTCCCGCGAGCGTGGGTCTGGACAAAAGTGACATTTCCAGTTCTTTATTGTTGTTGCAGTGGCGCGCTGCCTGCCCCGTGCAGGTGGTGAACGCGGCCTCAAGTGTGCCCCGAGACTCACGGGTACAGTAAACTCTGCAGCACTAAAACCCGTCAACTCCCCGCCGCTTCTGCTGCCAACACTCTCATTATAGAGGGGCTTTTAACGTTACACTACAAGAGACTCGCAAACCCTTAAACCCACGCCGATCTCACTCATCCCGTCTACCATCTTTGATAATGGGAGTGTCTCTAATTTGAATATGGTGGCTTTACCGAAAGAACCCAATAGTACAGAGAGAAAGGTTCAACTTCCACTTGACCGATGCAACGTATCTCGAGAATCGCAACGAAAATAACAAGAAGAGACATTTTTGTTCGAGAGAATTCGATAAAAAAATAAAAATTTAACCCCCCCCCCCCCATAAACATTTCAAGAGCCGAAATGCACGTGGTGAACTTCGCGAAGCAGTCCTTCTTAAAGAGCCGCATCCGGCCCCGGAGCCGCGAATTGCCGAACCCTGTGGCTCTAGATGAAGGCCGTCTCACAAAGCCGTCAGCATCTCTCACGCTCCTGAGATGTAACAAAGCCACTCTTAGGTACCTGCACACGAGCTGACTTCATCGGCGTAATTTCGCGGTGAACGTCGATGATGTCATGGTACTTAATTAAAAAAAAATCATGATAGGAACTTCCTAATAATAAAAAAGCAGTGCTTAAAAGTGGTAAAAAAAAGCAACAGAAAAGACGTACAAAAAGCGAGTGGTCGTGTTGATTTTTTTTATATTTTCAACCACGACGAGGTCCTAAGGTATGGTAAGATTTAAGGCCTGGCTTTCTGCAGTGTAACAACTTGTTTAAGCTACCCCCATTTCTATAAAGGTATTTAATCCACTTGGATTTGCAATTTAAATAAAAGCTGCATAGGCTTAGCAAATACATTGCTACAGTTGGCTGGCTTACAGTTCGTCAGAAAACTATGCTACAGTGCAATAGCTATGTCAAGTGAAGGCAAGGTGGGAGGGTTGCAAAAGTTCACCCACACACATAACCGCGCAGTTTAAACAAATAAATGTACCACACGACAAAAGCAGATTCTTGTAAACGACACAATTGAATGAAGAGCCCCTGCTTAGTCTGCTCGTTCGCCACTGAACCAGCTTGCACAGAGGGGACAGTTCAATTCCTATAGCCCACCAAGTAATTTCTACAATGAACCAAGAAAGTGGACATACAGATCTATGAGATAAACTCGAACATTTTCCTTTCAAATGTGTTAAAATCACTACCTATCCTATTGTAAGTAAAGCCTCCCAGGTGTTCTTTGCAAGATGTAATGTATCTCAAAAGGTGCCTCAAACGGGCTAAGTAAAGAACATGAATCAACAAACGCTTACGTTCTGCCGGCGAGCCAGTGGCGGTCTGGTCCGACCCAGACCACCATTCGTGATGGGCAGCATGACGAAGAGTTCACCGGGGAAGATCGGCAGCCTTCAGCAGGATGGCCCCGTGTACCCAAACTACCCCACCGGCGTCTCCCTGCAGCACAGCTGTTGCACGCAATAAGATCAACAGTAAATGGATTATTTTCAAACGAACAACAAAAATACTAATTCTTCAAAGCCGGACTCAAGCTTTACGCAGGTCGTAAGATGCAGCCATGGTGAACGGATGGGGGGGGGTTTAGGCAGCGATGGGAAGATGAGCGAGCGAGCGAGTGTGCGCCGTGTCATGTGTTCCAGGACGTGTCCGCGTGGACTCCGGGAGCCGCCGACGTCTGCGAGGGTGCGGCTCATTGAGCTCGCGCCTGACAAACCCGCAAAGCGCTCACGGCCCGCCCGCCCGCCCGCACTTGCCTGTCCAGACAGGCCAAGCCAAGCTATGGCTTCAACTTGGTCTCACAACAGCCCTGAGGAATGATGGGCTCGGTTGGGTTGGGCTAGGCTGAGTTAGGGGAGGTTTGACAACAACCCATCCACCCCCACCCCCCCAAAAAATCGGGGAACTAATAAAGTGTACGTACGAAATAATACATGATGTTAACGATGGGTACTGCAAATATTAGCTTAAAAAATTACAAGCTCACCGAATTAGATGTTAAAACGTTACAGCGCCAGTAAGCCAGTAGACGCGTTATAAACTTTGTCGTAGTCTTCTGCCCGGGGCAACTCAATACGACGCAAAGTATACGACGGAGCGAAGTTTTATGTTCAGCTCAAGTGATAACATATCGGCCAAGAGACGTTTCGTTTTTCAGTAGCCAGGGAGTCATCCTCATCATTTAATCTCGCTGGTGCATTTAAAAATAGCACCGGCTAGTTATGCCAGCGATGGTCAACGCTCGCATTAAAACAAAACAACCTTGCAAACTCGGGCCCCCCTGGAATCGCCGGTGCCTGCGTGCATTCATACGGTGCCCCTATGAAATGACATCACACGACAGGTGTGGAAGAACCAGTTTCATTATGTCTGAGTAATCGCGAAAGCATAATTTATTATGAGAGGGGTTGGAGGAGGGGGGGGGGGAGGCAGGAAACCGATGCAGCTTTGGCTGCTGGCAAGTGCCGATTCCAACTACCACGAGTTCTCACGCGTGTTTGTGTCGAGGGCTGTGTTGGTGTTGACGTGTGTGACCCCACCGATACCATCTCAGCTCCCCCCGCAGTACCAGGGACTGAACTCTCATCAGCCGTCCCTCATGTTACGAGCAAAAAATGTTTGGGTTCTGAGAACTAAAAGAAAAAAAAGTATTGTCTCGGGTGTCAATGAGCAGCAGCAGCAGCATCTTAACGAGAGCAGGAAGCCTCCCTTCTCTCAGACGACCGCAGGAATGCCTTTGCATGGGTGCCACGGTCAAGGTGAGAGTGGAGAGTATTGGGTAGGCGGCCTACACACACCCGGCAGTGAGTCAACAGAGCTCACTGAAGTCCTAGCGAGGTTGCTGAGGCTAAAGTGTGGTGTCCAGGTTGCTGAGATCATAATTGCTAAGTCACAAATGCAGAAATTGTGCAAGCTCACATGTACTTTGACGACGGTTGCTAATATTAGACGCAAGTAAAAATATCACGCCAATGTTATTCCAGCATGGATGTGTTTTGGATGAAGTTAAAAGGGTTAAAATGGTCGTGCTTGAAAAAAATGCACGATTTTTTTAAAAAATAAAACTTTATTTGACTACTACCTGTACTACCCGGCTTCGCGGACTTGGATTCACCACACCCGACAGCCTTTGTCTCCCCAGTGGCGATGTTCACACCACAACAGTTACTCGTTTGAGGCTGAGTCGACCTAGGGGAGGCTCAGGACCGGTTCAAATAATCGTCACTGGTGGTGGCCGTGAGCGGGAATCGAACTCGGGTCGCCGGGTTAATAGCGCGGCGCGCTGACCACAACACTACAACGCGTTACGCTACAACACGCGCGGGTCACGTGACAGATGTCACGTCACAGCTCACTTGCGTGCAAAAAAATATGCATTATTGAGCTCCCCCCCTCAAAAGTGTATTTTTATAATTGTTGCATGGTGTACAGTCTGGAAAGTACCCACATGGCAAATTTGCAGTTTGTTGCATGTCGGGAAGTACGCTAAACATTTTGAACAGACACACATAATCACAACTTTGCTTTTATATATATGTGGAGACAGAAAAAAATGCTATTTTGTTTAGAATTTACTTACACCGCTTGATATTAACGCGTCCCCAAATATTTTTTTACTTACATGCAAAATACCTCCGGAACCTTAACCAGAGACCTACCGCTTCCAACTGGGCAAGTTGAAGCAGTGCCGTACAGAAAGATAACATCATAAAGTCTGCGATGATCCAGACCTTTGGGACACACAGACCTCACCTCATTAGTCGCACTCGACTTGTTGATGTCCAACTGAACACTGCAATTCGGTGTATCACTAGAACCGTCAAGTCGACTCAAACACCCCCCGTGCTGTCACACATCTCTCCCCCACCCATCCTCTGCAACCCTCCAGGAAGTCGTGCGAATGGAGGAAAGCAGTCGCCTTCCCATTCATCAGGACCTCAATAACGTCCCTCGTCATCGCTTGAAGTCACGCAAGCCCTTTTGGACCCGTGCGCTTAACCTTAAACAATGCAAATTCAACTCCGATGAAGCTTTAAGAGCTGAATGGAGTTCAAAAGAACTCACAAACATATTGCGAAAGACCCAACGCAGAAGATCTTCCACGAAGTTCACGAACCAACCTAAATCGTATCTGCACAAACCTATGGTGCACAAATGGAAAATTAAAACTCTCCCGTGTGCGACTGTGGTCATCCAGAACAGACCATTTACGACTATATTTACCCAAGAATGTCAGTGTGTAACGCGCGTGACGTCACGCCACGTCGAGCATTAATAATCATGAACAGTAAAGTCACCTAATAGGTGCAAAGAAAATAACAAAAAATAACAACAAAAAACTACGTTTCGATCGCAACACAAGCGATCGTCAAAAACTACGACGAAATGTCGTAGTTTTTTGTTCTTTTCTTTGAACCTATCTACGAAAGCTTTAAGTCAAGAATCATGAACAGGTTACGTCCTCCACATGAACCCGCCCCTCATTAATAATCATGAACAGGTGACGTCACTCCGCATCGAACAGCCCCCCTCATTAATAATCATGAACAGGTGACGTCCTCTAAATGGACACCCCCCTCCATTCATAATAATTAGCGGGTGACGTCACTCTACATGGGGGGCCGAGGCGCCTCCTCCCCCCTCCTCAACCCTCACTACAAATGCAGAACCCTCACGTCACGCGATCTCCGTAACGCTGTTGAGACATATAAGTAAAAAGGACGTCATGATGAACAAGGGATTATAACCTTTAAATGAACTAAGTCTGTGTCACCGCGCCCTTACAAATTTTACACGAATTGATGCAATGAATATCACGTCGGGGTCTGCTTTTCGCTTGCGAGTTTCAGATTTACTGCAATACACCCGTCCTTGGACGGGCAAAAGGCTCGTACAACATATAACGACGCAATGGCCCAATCCACAAATACGAAGGAGACATCAGAGCGATACACTCCGCTGATCCTGACGCGGTTGTCTGGATTGACCACGTAAATGTGAAATTGTAGTTGTTGCTCTGCATCTACATCAGCCATACGAAAGACGAAGATTATGAAACAAATACTTGAATTCAGGCTCACATCTCCACCTGTACTGTCACAATACTCGAAGTGAGGAATCAATCAAGCTGGTGTGGCATTTCACTCAAAGCTCACCACCATGGGCCATGATATGACCTAGCTAAAGCACGTTCGCTGCTTGTTAGAGGTTCACAGTTCGATTCAAGTGGCTGCCCTGATTACTAGTGCGCGAGTAATAGCCATAATAATACGTGCTGTGTGCTTTAAAGTGAATGTTAAACATTCCCTGACGTCATACGCAAGCATCGGCCATTGTATTTCAACGTCAAGCTAAAAATTTGCTATGCAGTATTCGAAAATTACCACAAATTATTCAATTTTGATTATATACATAGCAATCATTGCACTCCCCTGACGTCATACAAATTATTCAATTTTGATTATATACATAGCAATCATTGCACTCCCCTGACGTCATACGCAAGCATCGGCCATTGTATTTCAACGTCAAGCTAAAAATTTGCTATGCAGTATTCGAAAATTATCACAAATTATTCAATTTTGATTATATACATAGCAATCATTGCACTCTCCTGGCAAACTAATGTCCCAGGTCACTCTGGCACATTAGGCTGTTATTGTCTCTTTAGTCTTAACCTTGTAAAACATCATAAACTTGAAACACTCACCGTGAAATTCAACTCCCTGACTCTCCACAGAAAACACGTGCACCTGTACGTTTTGCAAGATTGTCCATAAGCCTAATCAGTTGTTTACTTTCCTACTGCTGACAAAAAGACCTACTTGAATAATGCACGAGTGAATCATTCATGCTGACGGGTGTGAGAGGCCGGTAGCACACGACTGCATTGCTTCCGAAGCCAAACCACGAAATAATGGGATGGGTGCAGCTTTAAAGCCAATGATGATCTCGGGTAAACGGATGTATTGTTCCTCGACTTCAATGATGATTTTCTTTTTACCTCCAGCTAGCTATGCACCTAACTATAATAGATAGGTTTACCAGAGTTAGTGGAAATCCCTCAGTACATTATAGTATCTAATATTCAAATACAGTATCATCTACAGTTTAAATACTTCATAGTGAAATGTCCTGTGAGGTAGAGTGGTGGCACAGTGGTTAGCATGCTGTGTACTACCAACCCGGCGACCTGAGAAGCTCGGACATGGTTAACATCAGTCGCGAGTAATATATGAACTAGTTCTCAGCCTCACCTTCACCAACCCCACAGCATTCAACCTGAAGTGTATTAACAAGGGGTGTAAATATATATGTAAAACGCCCTTTATAAGGGTCAGTCACGCAGGGTTTGTTGCCTACAATAAAATTCACCACGAATGTGCCTGATCTTGTCAGATCTTGGAAGCTAAGTCGGATTGAGCCTCGTCAGGGCCTGGGTGGGAGACTGCCTGAGACTACCAGGTGTTGTGGGGCTGGGCTGACAAGATGACCAGGAGATGGCAGTGCAGCACTGGACGTGTGGCGCTTTAATTGACATCCCTTGTTTGCGTTGGGTTTCTCTAGGTACTCAATTTTCCTCCCACATGGCAAGGTATTGATGGAATTGGCGAAAAGGCACAATGCATTGGGACCATCTTGAAAAAAAGAGTATTGAGACTCAGTGAGG